TTAAAAAGATATATATATTATATTATTTTTCAATTAAAACAATAATAATAGATATTAAAATAAAGGAAATTCTAATATAAAGGTATTTTTTAATTAATATTATAGTAAATATAGAAAAATAGGTTATAATATAAAAACCTATAAAAATAATATAATAGTTTCTAGATTATTAGATTTATAATAGCTTTAATTAATTAATTCAATGATTATTGAGAAATATAAATTTGAAAATATAAATTGAGGTGAAAGTAGGCTATCCATTGATATGAGCTATGTATTGATAAACCATATTACCTCAAATATCAGATTTATGACTAAAGTGACCTCAACTAGTATTTTGTAACGCTTATCAATTTTTCAATCTAATACAAACCTTTCAGGAATTAATGAAATAAAAGAAAAAAAGATTTAATTATTGATTGGAGCTTAAGGAATTCAAAAAAAAATCATTTCGAATTATCTCGAAAATTAAAATTAAAATTCAATTTAGTAGTTTTCCAGCTGGTTCTGTCACGGTGATCAAGCTTTAGCGCTAACCCCCCTATTACTGAAATACTAACAAACTGAATTTTAATATCGGTTTTCAAGATAATCGAAAACAAATTAGTTTATTGAATTTCTTAAATTTTAATTAATAATCGTATCTCTTCTCTTTTTACTTCATTAATTCCTGAAAGGTTGTATACTAGATTCGAAATTTGCTAGCCTATAAATTTAGCGATGGTATAACGAAATAATGATATTTAGTCCTGTCACATACTAGTTGAGGTATTAATACATGAAATAATAACATTCGGGGTTTTTACTATAGATTATAAGTCAGTCATATAACGTGGTTTATTAGTGCGTGGCTTATATCAATGAATGACTCATTTTCACCTTAATTCAATTTCTTTATTTTAATATATATTTTATTAATAATCTATAATGGATTTGAATAATAAAGAAGCTTATATATTACTTATTATTATAGCTATTCAGAAAAATAAGAAGCTAAGTATTCAAAAGACTATAATAACGTAACGTATGGGGAACTCGGACATATAGGGAACTCGAACACTTTTAGCCCATTACCAACTTGAAACCGCAATAACTTTTATTATGCATACCCAATCACCTTCTACATCTACTCAAATTGAAGAGAAGCTTCAAAAGGCTATAATTTCATTTCAATTGAAAGAGTTTAAATCAATTAGAAAGGCTGCAGAGTATTTTGAAGTCTCTAAGTCTACTCTAGCTGATAGGCTGGCTGGGAAGAAAACACATTCCCAAATTTACGAAATGGCTCAAATTCTTTCAAACGCAGAAGAAAATACTCTTGTATGATGGATTTCATGACTTATTATTACTGGATTCCCTGTTACACTTATGTTGGTGAAGGAAATGGCTAACGAAATTCGTCTTCGATGTGTTCGGGTTGCATTATCTCGAAATCCTATTTCAATAGAAATTCCATCTATAGGCTACAAATGGATCTATAGATTCCAAAAACGATATCCAGAATTTAAAATATGTTATTTATATTAATTAAAGTTTAATCAGACTAAAGAAGCAACTCCGGAGAATATTCAGGCTTGGTTTGATATATTTCGTATATATCTTATTGAGCGAAAGTATAAATTAGATGATATATATAATATGGATAAAACCGGATTTGGAGTTGGAAGTATTCAAAGTATATGTATTATAATCGATTCTATTCAGAAATCGAATTGGAAAGTTACAGTTGGCAAGCAAGAATGGATAACTGTATTTGAATGTGTCAATACAGCTGGAAATGCTTTATCACTTATAGTCATTTTCAAGGCTCAGAATACAAATTCTGTATGGATTCCAAAGGACACACCTCAAAGCTGGCAGTTCTCTACTAATACAAATAGATGGACCTCAAATAGCCATGGATTAGAATGGTTAAAAAGGGTTTTCGAACCAGAATCCAAGAAAGTGTCAGGTGACCGACCTCGACTTTTGATTATAGATAGTCATTCAAGCCATATTATAGGTAGCTTTATTGCTTTCTGTATAGATAATGATATCGATTTACTTATATTATCTTCTTATTGCTTTCACTTACTTCAGCCACTTAATATTGCGGTGTATAGGCTAATGAAACGATATTATGCTTTAGAGGTCGATCGATATTCTCGAGCTGGTGTAAAGCGAATCCAAAGAGCTGAATAGATAGAACTCTTTCAAAATATTAGAAAAAAAGCATTGAATTCTTCTAATATTAAAGCTGGCTGGAGAGGAGCTGGTTTAGTACCTTTTGCCCCACGAAAAGTACTCGATTCATTACCATTTAACTCCTCCCAGCAACCTTCTACTCCATAAATGAGAACCCCCAATCAAGATTTAGACTTGTCTATACTCAGGAGTTCTCCTCTAGATAGAACAGAACTAAGGCAAGCAAATCAGATCTTTAATACAGCTCTAGCAAGCAGTGGTTCTTCTGCATCGCCAATTTGTCGATATGCTAAGAGAATGACTAGGCTTGTAGAATCTCAAAATGCTGAGATAGCCCTACTTCGGAAACAGCTCTCTAATACTCAGGAGATAATTGAGACTCGAAAGAAGAGAACTAAAGGCAAAAGAGTCAAATTACAAGGTCAATTTGTCTTTAGTACTAAGGAAGTATTGAAAATGGTATGTGAGGCGGAGGAAAAACCGAAGGAGAAAAAGCCACGAGGACGGCCACGCAAACGCCCAATTGAAGAATCAGAAGAAGAGATTGAAGAAGAAGAGCTAGAGAATAGTTCAAGTGATTCGGAATTGGAATTGGAGGATTGTGTGGCTCGTAGAACAAGATCGCGTGTAGAATAATTGAAAAAGTGTCCGAGTTCCCCATATGTCCGAGTTCCCCATACGTTACGTTATTATAATATAGAATTAATAATATATTTTCTTATATAGAAATTTAATCTAAATCTCAAAATCTCTTGGAATTAGAAGAGGAAATTATTATTTAATATATAATTAATATAAATTCAAAAGATTTTATATTTAAATAAAAAAGAATGGAAAATATAGTGAATTATATTCTTGAATCTTAAAGTATAAAAAGAATTGGAAAGTTTTAGATTCATTAATTTATTAAATATTATATAAAATTAAAAATATGTTTTAAATATATTTATAACTTTCAAAAAGCTTTCTATAAAGATCCTATACTTATTGAAAACTGGTTTTAATTTATATCAAATATACAAACGAAATATAATATTCTCAATTATAATTTATAGAATTTTAATAAAACTAGCTTTATAATAGATATTATAAATATTAATATGATTATTATTAATATTAAGAAATATAATAAAAGTAAAGCTATATAACTAGGTAATCAAGAATAAACAATAGTAGTTATATATAGTAATAATAAGAGGGATATTATATTTTCATTTTTAATAATTCAAGGATAAGTATATCTTTTTAATTAATATATAGAAATCGATCTTCCTATAGATTAGATTATTAAACCTATAAGTAATAGATGAACAAATAATAAGATAGAATTAGAATAATTAAAATATTTTGATAAATATACAAGAAATCGAATTAAAAGTAAATATAAAATACTAATATTAAGTAAATATAAGAGTTATAAATTAATATTATTTTAAAATAATTATAAAAAGAATAATATTAAATATATATATTTATTATTATATTCAAATTATTTAATTCAATTTCTTGATATTGAATATTTTAGTATTTTAAAATAAAAGTATAGTATATAAATTAAGGAGTTTATAAGAATATATATTAATTATATTTCAAAGATTGAATTCTTTATAACTTTCAAAGCTATATATCAATAATCAATTATAAATTAGAATATGAAATTAGGGTTTTGAGAAATAAAATTAGTTTTATTTAATTCTGAAATAGTACTTTCTAAATTAAATATTCAAATTTATATATTTATTTCTTTTTTTTCTAATTTAGAACCCTGGATCTTTCAAATATCTTATAATTCTATAAAGATACTTTTTTAATCAATATTAATTAAATCTTGAATAACTTATTATTAATCGAGTTTTTTTATATTTTTATTTGAGATTATATTAACTTTAGCTAAGAATATAAAAAGATTAGTATATAAGAATATATTTTTGAATATAGAGATTTGTATATTTCGAAAAATAAATAAAGTATTAAATAAATATTAATATATAAAAAAAATCTAATTATATTAAGAAGAAATACTTATTGAATAGAAAGCTATAGATATATTATTTCAATAAAAGATTAATATCCAAATTCAATATAATAAATATCAAAGTAAAGGAAATTCTAATATAAAGATATTCTTTAATTAATATTATAGTAAATATAGAAAAATAGATTATAATATAAGAATCTATAAAAATAATATAATAAATTCTAGATTATTAGATTTATAATAGCTTTAATTAATTGATTTAATAATTATTAAGAAATATGAATTTGAAAGTATAAATTGAGGTGAAAGTGGGCTATCCACTAATATGGGCCACGCACTAATAAACTACGTTAAGCTTTTCCTCAAATATTTGCTAAGCGAGTATTTGAGGAAGAGCATCTTGTGATCAGAATAACATGTGACTCTAATCCGTGATGAGTCGTTATATGAATCTTAGTACGATACTCCAGGTTTAATGGTCTAACTGAAGATTGTGTAAATTAAAATGCATATCTTTGATAGCTTTAGCACCATCTGGTGTACGACTCAAGAAAAAATATGGTCGCCATAGCTTACTTCCAGTTTCTATTGTAACGCATATCGAAAACTCTACGTTTAGCCGATAGATCATACCTTCTGTAGCCAGAGCATAAATTCAGGAACTCATATATTAAGTGCTCGCCAGTGCCTCTCTATGATCACAATCATCTTGTCTTGATCTTTACAAATAAAGCACATAGATTGTAAATAATACTAATTATCGATATACTCTCAAATAGACCCTGATAATTAGAAGGGATTAGGATGTGGAAAAGCAAGATAATAAGAAGCTTTGAGTTTACTTCCAAGCATTTAACATATCCACAATCTCACGAAATCCACATCGTTTAGAAACCAAAAGCACTGTATCGCCGTCGGTATCTATAAAGGTCGGATCTGCCTTGGCGCTTAACAAGAGCCTCACAATTTCTGTATGTCCTTTGGCAGCTTCCCAGAAGATAGGTGATCGTCCGGAAACGCTAATGGCATTGACATTGACGGATTTCGTCCCAAGGAGTAACCGGACTACCTCGATATGACCATTCGTAGCAGCGATGCATAGAGCTGTCACCTTCCTAGGGTTTGAAAGGTCCGGTTCAACCCCTCGTTCTAACAAGCTTTGAATTTTCCTTTTGTTCCCAAGTTTAGCTGCTTTATAGAATTGAGCAATCGTAAACCACTTTTGCTGAGATGATAGGATCTTTAGATGTATATCAATAATATATAGAACTGCTTCTTGTCCACTTGTAGCGGCGGCATTGATGACGTTTTCCGTAATTACTACTTCTGCCCCTCGTTTCTCAAGCAAGAGTATCATCACCTCTTTTCCACTTTCCTCATTCCCTGCTGCTGCTTTCACCACCTCTTTTGTAATTCCTACTTCTGCCCCTCATGTCTCCAACAATAACTTCACCACCTCCTTTCCACTCCACTTATTTATCACTGCTGCCTTTACCACCTCTTCTGTAATGATTACATCTGCCCCTCATTTCTCCAACAATTTCATCACCTCCTTTCCAAAACAATTTGCGATTATCTTCATCACCACTTTTGTAACAACTATATCTGCTCCTTGTTTCTCCAACAACAACTTCATTACCTCCCTTCCTTTACTAAAATTCATCACTAATACTTTTACCACCTCTGTTGTAATGACTGCGTCTACCAATCGTTTCTCCATCAACAACTTCATTGCCTCCTTTCCACTTCCTTCATTCATCACTGCTGCCTTTACCACCTCTTCCATCATAACTACATGTGTCCATCGTCTCCTCGTCAACAACTTCATTACCTTCTTTCCACTTCCTTCATCCATCACTGCTGCCTTTACCACCTTTCCCATTGTAGCTATATCTGCCCATCGTTTCTCTATCAACAACTTCATTACCTCCTTTCCATTTCCTTCATCCATCACTGCTGCCTTTACCACCTCTTCCATCATAGCTACATCTTCCCATCGTTCCTCCATCAACAACTTCATTACCTCCTTTTCAAAACAATTTGCAATTGTCTTCACCACCTCTTTTGTAATGACTATATCTGCTCCTCGTTTCTCTAACAGCTTCATTACCTCCTTTCCAAAACAATTTGCGATTATCTTCATCCGCTCTTTTGTAGCAACCATATTTGCCCTTTGTTTCTCCAACAAAAACTGCATTACCTTTCTTTCTATATCAAAATTCATCACTAATGCTTCTATCATCTTATTTATAATAACCACATCTGTTCCTTGTTTCTCCAATAATAACATCATTATCTCCTTTCCACTTTCCTTATTTTCAGCTACTATCTTCACCACCTCTTTTGTAATGATTACATCTGCCTCTCTTTTCTCCAATAATAACATCATCACCTCCTTTCCATTTTTCTCATTTCCAGCTGCTGCCTTCACTACTTCTTTAGTAATAACCACATTTGCTCCTCTTTTCTTCAATAATAACATCATAATCTCTTTTCCACAATGATTTGCTATTGTCTTCACTACCTCTTCAGTAATAACCACATCTGCTTCTTGTTTCTTCAATAATAACATCATTATTTCCTTTCCACTTTCCCTATTTCTTGCTGCTGCCTTTACCACCTCTTTTGTAATAACCACATCTGCCCCTCTTTTCTCCAATAATAACATCATAACCTCTTTTCCAAAATGTGTTACTATTATCTTCACCATCTCTTCTGTAGTAATCGCATCTGCTTTTTGTTTCTCCAATAATAACATCATTATCTCCTTTCCACTTTCCCTATTTCTTGCTGCTGCCTTCATCACCTCTTTTGTAATAACCACATCTGCCCCTCTTTTCTCCAACAATAACATCATTACCCCCTTTCCACTTCTCTCGTTTTCAGCTACTGCCTTTACCACCTTCTCCGTAATTACTACTTCTACTCCTCGTTTCTCCAATATAAACATCATAATCTCCTTTCCAATAATCTCATTTCTTGCTGCTGCCTCCACCACCTCTTTTGTAATAACCACATTTTCCATTTGTTTCTTCAACAATAACATCATCACCTCCCTTGCAAAATGGCTCGCTATCATCTTCACCACCTCTTCCGAAACTACTATAGCTCCTCGTTTCTCCAACAATAACATCATCACCTCCTTTCCCAAATTTATCGCAACTACTCTTACTACCTCTTCTGTAATTACCAAATCTGCTTCTTGTTTTTCTAGCAATAACATTATAACTTTCTTTCCACTTCTCCAATTTTCCGCTGCTGCTTTTACCACCTCTTTTGTAATTACTACTTTTGCACCTCCTTTTTTCAACAATAATTGCATCACCTTTTTTCCACTCGCTTTATTTCTTACTGCTGCTTCTACCACCTCTTTTGTAATGATTGCATCTGCCCCTCTTTTCTTCAACAATAACATCATCACCTCCTTTCCATTTTTCTCATTTCCAGCTGCTGCCTTCACTACTTCTTTAGTAATAACCACATCTGCCCCTCTTTTCTTCAATAATAACATCATAATCTCTTTTCCACAATGATTTGCTATTGTCTTCACTACCTCTTCAGTAATAACCACATCTGCTTTTTGTTTCTTCAATAATAACATCATTATTTCCTTTCCACTTTCCCTATTTCTTGCTGCTGCCTTCACCACCTCTTTTGTAATAACCACATCTGCCCCTCTTTTCTCCAATAATAACATCATAACCTCCTTTCCACTTTCCTCATTTCCAGCTGCTGCCTTCACGACTCCTTTAGTAATTAGTACTGTTTTTGAATATGGCCCATAAAGCAGTTCTCGGAATACGTTCAAGCTTGATTCAGCTGCAGGAATAATATATCTATCCCCTAACTCATTTGTTAGTTTATTCGGGATCACACTCGTAAGGATCTTCGCTAGCCATTCCTTATCAATAATGATTGCAATAGTCCAAATCGATATCGGAATTGCTTCGTTTCGCCACTCCAAACTTTCATTTCTGTATACCCATAGTGTCTGTCCTTCTTTACTCAAAACAAATTTTAATCGTTTTATATTATCTTCTGTTTCTTCTAACATATCAATATGTTCATACCAGAAGTTTGCGGCGTAAGAAAGAAAGCAGTCGTCATCTTCCATTGAGTTGTCATCTTCCATTGAGTTGTCATCTTCCATTGAGTTGTCATCTTCTATTGAGTTGTCATCTTCTATTGGGTCCTCATCTCTCATTGTTGATGCATGTTTCATATGCTCGTTAAAATTCAGATAGGATATACAGGTGTTAGCAAGCAGCAGTTCCGGTCGTTCAAATTGTTTCAATATCTCTGATTTCTCCAACATTCCCGAACTTTTAAGATAATCGCGCAATGTTTGATGGATCAGAAAAGGGTTCGGGCCAATGACATCGATCAAGCTGTTGAGGTTCCTTCGAATAAAGTTAGAATCCAAAACTATTCTTTCATTCTCACAATCTCTTAAACTTTTCGCTTCTTTTGTCATACTAATAGCGAAAGCATCTCCCAATTCCTGAAAACAAAGTGGACGTGCTGCATATGCTATCCAGGCTAATACCACTCCATTTTTTGGGTCTTTTAACGCTTTCCCAACTAGATCATCATACAAATCAGTAAGCTCTGATGGAAGCTGTTTGATTTTGTTCTCAATATCTCGAATAGATGGTGCATTGAGTTTTCGAAGCTCACGGAGAAGTATACTTATCCAAAGGAAAGTTCTTCCCTCCTCTGCTCGTGCAGTATTAGTAATGATACTTTTCATTCTTTTTGTGAACCCTTTGTCTTCTGTAAAAAAGAATAATTCAGAGGTAATAAATGTCGTCAAGTCTTTTTCCGAAGCACAAAGGGTTTTTGAAGGAGAAAAGCCAACATCCATTATGAATTCTTCCGGCCTGCTTGTGCAAAGCAATTTTAGAGGAAATTGTTCAGTACCAATAGTATCAAAGAGCTTTTTGAAATTCATGAGTACGCTATTTATCTCTGTATTATAGACATCGAGTCCATCAATAACACAATAAATATTAGTATATATATCTGTGGAAATCAAATTGAAGAAGACCGCCCAAAGGCTATCAAAGGATTCTGTAAAAAATTCCTTCTTCTCATCCTTATTTTGAAAGCGGTTTGGAAGCTTCTGGTATAATCGCCGGTCCTCACAAAGTTGAACAATGAAAGATCGGAGAATGGATGATGCTGTCCGGGAACTTTCATCATTCTTGATATTACAAAAGTAATAGACAATCTTATTTTGAGGCTTTTGTTGTTCTTGCAAATGATCTATGACGAAGTTGGATAGAACAGACTTTCCCTGCCCAGGAGTTCCAGTGATTAGCAAGACGCATGATTGATTAGAGTCTCGCCATTCAATAAAGTCGCTTTTTTGAAGTCTATCGGGACGGTCTTGAAACTCTGAGGGCTGGTCAGTAACCAACCATTGCAGAGTTCCCTCGACCGCCTTTCGTACTTTCTTGGTTTCTTTGAAGCTTCCATAAGGGGGGACATTGAGATCGTCCCAATGACTCTTTTCAGCTGAGGAGAGTTCTTCAAATAATTAGATTCGTCATTTTAATTGTATATAAACTAGGCATACCTACTTTTAATTGAAGCAAACCTTGCTTTAATAACATTAGGCGCGCTATCGACAAGACCTTTCAGCCCGTGAAGTACCTTTCCATAATCATCATCAAACTGATCAGCAAATTTGACCAGATCTGAGTGATCTCTAAGAAGTCCTTCTTCGTAGCAAAAGTTGTCACCATTGCCGATTTGACAAGCCGAACTCTTCGAAACCATAAAGCACAGTGGTCCATCCTTTACTAACAATCCATTGTCCAACTATAAAACGATATCAGTAATAGTTTCGCATTGGAGGAAACTTTGAACGTAACTTTCTAACCATCTGGGTTTCCTTCTGTTCGTAGTAAGATCGTATCTGAAATCGTCCTTTCTTACAGCATTGCTTAAAGTTTTGTTTGATCGTGCTTAAGAACTGAGTTGGTTCATGATCTTCATCGGCTACCTGAAGATCCTTGATCATTTGTTCGTTGAGTCCTCCAGCTACGATCTGCATAAGGGCCTTGTTGTTAAGGCCCAAATTAGGAACCCCAAAGAACATTAAGCCGTAAGACGATTTGAAGAAATCAATATTGTCGCGATTCCTATCGCTTATCATAGCTATATATAAAGCCTAAAGTACAACTATTAGTTTGCAAAGCTTCAATAAGGAATAGAGGAGACGAACTTCTTTAACAAGCAACCCTCCAAGACTATGAGCTACAAAAATGAGCGGCCTTTGGTTCGTCTGCAAATTCATCATTAGCAAATAAAGATATGTGAATGTAACTGTGATTATAACCTCGGTGGCCGAACGAAACGCTATAACAGAACTGAGAAATGCTTTTGCTAAATCAGAAATAGATTGTTTTGCATTTCTAACTAGAATTGATGTATCGTATCCATAAGCCAGAATCCGAGCAGATGGTAGATCTTTAGGAAGAAAGTCGCGAATCCAAACACTATCTTTTCCTTTGAACGAGCCGATCGGATGGCTACCTAGACCTGGGATGGAAATGATGCTGCTATATGTTAATCACTATTGTTCCTAAAATCAATCTATACATAACTTACTCTACAGATGCTTTGTCGCTCTCAAAAAGTGGTGTGATTCCGAGGAATTTGTCATCAACAGTATAGTGCAAGTTGGGAGTTTCGAACGAATATAGTGTTGCCACCAATATGGAAGAAGATGAACGTGCAAGAGTAATGGAGGAATCAGATTTGTTTGTTGGCAGGTATACCATTAGCTCTTCTTCCAAAGATTCTTTCGTTGTTCCCATCGGTATTCCTCGTATACGAAAACATTTGAGCTTTTTTGGCGGCGGATTAATCTTTGTGGTTTCTGTGACCTCTGGGGCATCTGCAATCTTCGTGGTTTCCATAGTTTGTGGTTTGATATCCATTATGATTAGTTGATATTTCGAAAAGAGGATTATTTGATTGTATGTGTTGATGAGAAGTTGACGAGGAGTTGATGAGGAGTTGATGAGGAGTTGATGAATGATTGAATCTGTTTTGCCAAAACTATAATTGGCTATCAATTAAACACATCAATTACATTCTCAAAAGCATCATGGCTGAGCAGAAATCAACCTTGCAGTACGGGTTGAATTTTATTGGTAATAATGGCTGCCTAAACTTTCAGCTGAGGCTATTCAGCTGTGATTGGAAGTCTTACTTCCCGTGTGATGCATCGCAACGAGTGGCTTTTTCCAATAGCATCTCTTTTCGTATCACTTCTTGAGTTCTATTGGTAACAATGGCTGCCTAAGTTTTCAGCTGAGGCTATTCAGCTGTGATTGGAAGTCTTACTTCCCGTGTAACGTATCACAACGAGTGGCTTTTTCCAATAACATCTCTTTTCGTATCACTTCTTGAATTCTATTTCAGTAATTCAAGAATTCAAGGTTACTTATTGTTTCCTCTTACGAAAATCTATATCTCCTAAAACTAAAACAATTCTTCATCATCATCGCAATGCAGGAACCACCCTTCGTTAAAGCTGATCAACTCAATGATGAGCTTGACATTATAGCAAGTTCAGCTGCACCTGCGATATCAACAATGCGCTTACCAGGTCAACCACGCATTTATATAAGTCAGCATACAAAAGTTGATGATTTTCTCAAACAAGAGTTTCTTCTAAAAGACCTCGAGGAAATCTCTCCACATTTATGGATGATGTCAAAGCACGATAGTAAAAGCATCTCTCCCTTACATCGCCAAAAGGTCAAAGGTCGCGAGATCGTTATCACTGAAGATCCACGATTGCATTTAGTGTGGTATCACGACCGCATATTTATCAAACCACTTCCAAAATACCTTTTATCCCACCACTTTTGGGAGAAATATCTTTGCGTCAATCGCCACCCTTCACCAGAGCAAATTACTCTTCAGAAAGCAGTTCTAGGATATCTCCGAACATACATCTATCTCATCAAATATGAATCAGATTTTCGTATAGCTATCGATGACAAACTTCGATTGATACCTCCTGGTATTACATTTTTAAAATTCTGCGATTTTATTGCACATTTGGAAACCCTTCTTGATGCCGATGTTGCTGAACGATATGCTTATGGCGAAATTCGGCTTACGAGACTCAATCTGTATTCGAAAATTTTCTTAATGAAGTTCAGCTTCCACCGTATTTGTCCGCAGTACTCTGATTATTTCGCCTCATTCTATGGGCCTTTACTTTTTGTATTTGCGACACTTTCTGTAGTGCTAGGTGCGATGCAGGTCTCGTTGGCCATTGACTTTGATGCAACTAAGCAGTGGAAATCTTTTGGGCAATTTTGCCAATGGTTTAGTGTCATTTGTCTTTCTGTGGTAGCAATTTTGGTTCTTTGGCTTGGTTTGTTATTCTTGTATAAATTCATCAAGGAATGGGTTTATGCTATCGCTGAACATCAGAGAAGGAAAGACTGCTCTAAAGACTGTTCTAAAGTCTGATTAAGCAGTTGGACCTTTTGAGCAAGACATTAACAATTCCGAAAGGATTTCGGTTTGAGGATTCATTAGTAGATGCAACGACTCAAATATATTGAGTATAAGGGGTGAAGTGGTATCGTGTCGAGGAAGCATGGATGTAAGGGTGAGGCATATAAGTACGTACAAGGTGGATTTATTCACAGCATTCAAGATACCGATTCAAAACTATAGCATCCGTAAAACTCAACCGTCTTCTTCGCATTCTTAAACTTAGATAATGCAAGCTCTTGTAGAATATTCCCCTATTTCTGTCAACGCCAGTGATTTCTCCACGCTCCATAATATTTCTTGAATGCCGGACGAGGAATTGCAGAGATGCTGCCAATGGGCGGGAATAACACACAGATATCCATAGGATATCCACCAGGCTACATGGGATAGATACATCATCTTTACCAACTACCAATGGGGGCTAGATTTTGGAATTGTCTACCCATGATCTTCATTGGTAAACATAATAGCTTATATCTAAGTACAACGGTTTAAACTATCCAATACAGCAGCTTTGGCTACGGTTTTATACATACTCGAAGGCGTGGCAATTCTACTATCCGTCTCCGATGACACTAATTTTATATCCTCTTTCGAATCATCTCCCTTCCCAGTTTGTTCTCGATATTGAAAGTTGCTCAGTATATTCTTCGTAGTTGTAGAAACACGTACCGGCGGTTTTTCTGCTAATGGTTTCGCGGGAACTTTAGGCTTTTGTTGTTGGTTCTGGTAATTCTTATTCTTCTGCCATGGCTGTCGAAGTGGTTTAGATTAGACTTCAAGTAGGAATTCGATAAGGTTGTAACTGGTTGCAATTCTCGTAACTATAGTATGAAACCAATGATTCATCTTGATTACGAAGCTTCAAATTGTAATGAGACGGATTTCCTTACATAAATCTTCGTTCCCTGCGCATCGACAAGTCGATTACCGCAAAGCCGACTTTTCGAAGTCGGCTTCCTCACCACGCGACACTATTCCTGTGATTCGCAGTTACCCTTTGTAGCAGTTTCCCTTACTCATATCTCTATCCAAGTGGAAGACTTAGAACATTACCCTATAGATCTTAAAAACCGTGTTCTACAACATGAGAATTTGAAACATGTTCTGTAATTGGTTGGAATTACAACGAGAGAATTTCATCGAATGTGTATCAAGTAGTGACCTATCCTACCCCTCTTTCTGTACCACACCAGTCAATATTATCTTTGTCTCAAACCTTCGATTTTAATAACGATTGGCTCAAAGCCACATTTACTGAAAGTGTTCCTTATGTTTCTTTGTGGTATTAAAACTGTTATGTAACCATACTAGAATACATTAGAATTGAGGTGGCAAATCGAAAGTCTATATAATCACAAACTTCACTTTCCTTCTTTATTAAAGAGAGGGAAAAAAGAAAAGGAAAAAGAAGAAGGAATATTATATTATATTATAGATAACAATGGTGTAGTAACTAATAGATAATTTATACTAAAGCTTGTTTTGACCTAGAGAATATGAAACCTTCATACTTAAGCCTCAAGATAAAAATGCTACCGGAGGGAAGTCCTATGGCTATAGTTCCCTTATAACAAGATGTCTTAGATGGTCGATAGTCTGGAGGTAGCCAAACCGTATTTCGCATTTCTCCATCTACTATTTCAACTATCCAGTTGTTTGATATAGAGTAGCGTTCAAAGGCTGAGGATGCCTCTTGGCCTGAATAACCTTCGAGTGTTTGAAGCGATTCGCCCGTTCCGACATCCCAGAGCCGAATCGTTTGATCGTCGGAGCCGGAAGCTATCACTTTACCATCCGGCGAAAAGGCAACCGAGCGAACCCAACGCGAATGGCTCTCGAGTATTTGAAGGGATTCGCCTATTGCGACATCCCAGAGCCGGATCGTTTGATCCTCGGAGCCGGAAGCTACCACTTTACCATCCGGCGAAAAGGCAACCGAATCAACCGAACGCGAATGGCCCTTAAGTGTTTGAAGCGATTCGCCCGTTGTGATATCCCAGAGCTGGATCGTTTGATCGTTAGAGCCGGAAGCTATCACTTTACCATCCAGCGAAAAGGCAACCGATGTAACCCAACCCCAATGGCCCTTAAGTGTTTGAAGGGATTCGCCTGTTGCGACATCCCAGAGCCGGATCGTTCGATCCTCGGAGCCGGAAGCTACCACTTTACCATCCGGCGAAAAGGCAACCGAATCAACCGAACGCGAATGGCCCTCGAGTGTTTGAAGGGATTCGCCTGTTGCGACATCCCAGAGCTGGATCGTTTGATCGTTAGAGCCGGAAGCTACCACTTTACCATCCAGCGAAAAGGCAACCGAGCGAACCCAACGCGAATGGCTCTCGAGTGTTTGAAGCGATTCGCCCGTTGCGACATCCCAGAGCCGAATCGTTTGATCGCCGGAGCCGGAAGCTAGCACTTTACCATCCGGCGAAAAGGCAACCGAATCAACCGAAAGCGAATGGCCCTCGAGTGTTTGAAGCGATTCGCCCGTTGCGACATCCCAGAGCCGGATCGTTTGATCCCAAGAGCCGGAAGCTACCACTTTACCATCCGGCGAAAAGGCAACCGAATCAACCGAATGCGAATGGCCTCGAGTGTTTGAAGCGATTCGCCCGTTGCGACATCCCAGAGCTGGATCGTTTGATCGCCGGAGCCGGAAGCTACCACTTTACCATCCGGCGAAAAGGCAATCGACCTAACCCAATCCGAATGGCCCTCGAGTGTTTGAAGGGCGGCACTCCAATTTGATCGTGTTCTTGATATCTTATAAATCCAATTGGGGATACATTCTTGAAATGTTTTTCGAATAATGCTCTCCTCAGGAGAAAAGAAAAGGGCTGAACAATAGATTTGAAGAGGAGCTTGTTCAAAACCTATTCGGTTGTGAAGGACGAAGCGTTTGGCGTCGTGGGTAAAAGCGAAAAGTTCAGGAGCTTTCTCAACCTTGGCATTCATTAGTAGAATGCTTTTTTTCAAGCTATTTTAACTCACCGAGATACAAGATTCCAAACTTTTTATTGCAGTAATACATTCTGAAATCTTCCCTATCAAACTCATAGCTTCCAGCCAGTGAAGGAAGTGTACTTTTAGGAATTTATGAACCTCATCGTTATCTTGAAGTTGTTCTTTTTGTTGTCCAGGATGCGTGTTGTTTAAATGATCAACCCAATAGATGCATGAATACTTTATAGGAGTTATTGGATCGACGCCGGGTTGCTTGATTTGATCGATAGAGATTCCAGGAGCAGCTAAGTTATAGATGTTACGTCGAAGCGTGCAAGACATAGCCTGTAATGATCGCGAGAAGATGCTTTTATGTACATCTTCCATTGTAGAAAGAAACATATTTTTAAATGCCGTTTTAATCAAATAGTCCTTACCGGATTGATGAACAAAGAAGATAGTATGTTCTCGAAGCGTTAAAAAGGAGCCACAAAGACCAATGATCTCTGTTAGAGCTTCATAATCATCTGCAACTCCGTCAGGCATATCCACAGAAATTACCAGCTCGTCCAGCGTGATGGGTCGGTATACAGTTGAAACGACCGCTAGTATGCTTATACAGAGCTCAGCATCTTCTGAATCCATGATTTGGCTTAACATCCGCTGGTAGAGAGCATCGAGTCCAGGCGGAAATGCTGTTAACTTCTGCTGAGCCTTCCATCCTGGAATATTAGACAGCTCTTGACAGACCAAAGCCACCCAAAGAAAAGTACCGTTTGAGTTTAGCGTTAAATACTGCTGGATAGCTTCCTGTGTGTCGTTGCTGTATTTGCTACGCATCGTTAGCTGATTTACTTTGAGCTGGATAAATTTCGTAACAGCAACAGAGACGGATTTTTCATTAAGCTCGAGACAAAGCCTTAGCTTCTGTGTCGCAGTATCGAGAGTCCTTTCGATATTTGGCAAGTTGCGGCTAGAGACAATCCACTTAATACGAGGAGATATTGACGAAGTCTGCACAATGAAATCCAACAATTTTGGCAAGTCGGTTTCGCATTCGTCGAGAGCATCAACGATCAAGTAAATACTGCCCTGCAACTTTAGATCATCTAAGATACTTTTGAATAATATCGACAAAGCTACCCAAGCATTAACCCCTCGAAAGGATTCTTAGGCCCTTGATCATATCTCTTCTGAATATGTGAGATAAGAGATCGCTTCTGGTCAACAAGCAGATAGATCAGACCCCGTAACACGGCTGTGGCGTGGTTAATCCGGGAGTCAGTGGCCTGGCAGAAAAAGTACGACAACAGCGCGGTCGGATCTTTTTTTTTGTTTATCTCATCGATAATACCGCAGAGGAGCATCGTTTTACCTTTGCCAGGATCACCTTTAATCCAGAGTAATGGTTTCTGGCTGTCGCTACGCCATTGTTGGAAGTCGGGATTTTCAAGTATCCAGCAGTATGAGTCCTTCAGCAGACCACCCTTCGCCTGCTCAATACGTATCTTGTCCTCGCGGGGATCAGTCATCGATAAATCTTTGAGATACTTTCGGGTTTGGGAGTCGGTTTGCTGGCTTGAGATATTATCTTACAAAAAGAGTTAGTTGGATAAAGTACTTGTCAATTTTTATAATAAGTTAGAAAACAAAAACAAAGATATAAAGCATACTGTAGTTATTGATAACTTGTTTGAGTGGGTTGCCTAGTCCATGTATGTCAAATCCAAACATAGTTTTGTATCATGCTACTTCTTACTGCCAAAATATGCATCCCCATTAATTTTATTGTGAAAGAGATCCCCAGTCCCGGCATGCATAGCTCCTCCACCAGTGTTGGCATTATTGTTACCACTGCCATTGTGGTTCTGGGTGACACTTCCAATCTCTTCCTGGAGAGAGGAGGGCATTTCCTTCATCTCTTTGATTCCCTCTTCGAGCCCCTTTACTTGCACTTCAGTAGCAATTCCCACCAGCTTCTCGCATGCAAGTAATTGGGTATCTTTGAGTATCCCTTCCATCAGATACTCTACCTTTTCCCCTTTCCGCAATGTACTCAAAGCCTTTTTGTATCGATCGAACCATTTATCGTCATCTTTTCGAACCACTTTATGGAATATTTTGTTGAGGTCATCAGCCTTTGCCTTGCATGACTCTAGAATGAGCTCTATCGCATCTAGTGCCGGTTCATCGAGCGATGATACTCTCTCTTCAGCACATCGAAGAATCTCAATAACAAGTGGCAGTCGTGCAGCCACTTGGCGGAATGCTTCCGGCTGGCCTTTTACGTTTCCAGCGGCATCATATACCGTTTTGGCTGCCTCAATGATTGATATCACGCCCGAAATGAGGCCAATGATAAAGCCAGCCTCAGCGCCGGACATGATGGGCGGGCGGTGGGCGATAATTTATGAGCTTGTCTCAAAGAATCGATACGCTAAAGTAGCTTGTGAATTAACAACAGAACGAAAAAATGCGGGGTTTGAACTTACTTGACTAAATGATGCTATCGAACGAGATTGTAATGATTGAAGAATGCTCAGAGCGTTTGTGGGGAAAGAAGGTTCAATGATAAGGATATAACAGACTTTGCGTACAAGGGCTATGTAATCACATAAGCCGAGTCGTCGCAGCACCTGGCTCCCGCGTAAATCTGCTTTAAGGATAGTTTCTAAAGTTCGTGGAGAGCTGAATAATATGGCCTTCTAGTGAAAGACCAATCCTAATTTACACAATAGAAAACAAAATAATGGGCAGATCAAAGGTTCATAGAAATCTGTCAGGCAAATGTTATCAGTGACCAATAACAATCTCTAGATAGCGACCCAAGGTCTCGTTCTAATGCTTATGATTGGATGCTAAATTTGAACGACCTCCATTTTACACTCGTAAACTATCTGGACATGGATGCTTTCAACGCGCTGAAATGCCTGAAAGACTGCACACGACTTGGTATCCCGGCATATGAGAGTACGATTAGAACTCCGTTCATTATAATAGTTCGTCATCACCAATCACGATATTTCCAACGATCTTTGACGCTCCATGCCGTAAGTTTTGTCTCACCGCCGGTAATCTGCCATCAATCAAATAATTCTGCCCGTACAAATTAAGTAAAAATTAGAGAATACACCTCCGTAGGTATGAAGCATACAATGTAACTTTCACAATTGCCTTCAGGCGATCTTATTAATAGGTTACGAAATACTGACTTCGTAATTACCCCCCATTTATTCAATACTTCAATTAATTACATCAATCGTCTTTGATCATTTTCTGTACCTCACGAAACTTTTTTGATTTACTAGTTATCGCAATCCATTTACTTAAATTATTGATGTCATTATTTAAGAATAATCAGAATTTCAAAAACCTCCCCATAAAAGATTAAGTAAAAACCAACCAGAAACGAAATCCCTTCAATCGAATCCCAAACAAGCACACTAAGAAAGATATAAAACAGCGTCTTTTTCCTATTCCCCAACCCAAAAAATTCACGCAATGTCTACCTAACACCATTCGTCTCTATCTACCAGGCTCCCTCATACGAGATACATCCTTGTGTCACTCTCAGAAAGCAGGAAGATAAATACATCGATAAAAGCAATAGCGACTTTTCTCCCAAAACACTTCCCCATGTATCACCAATAAACACCAAGGCAATCAACGACCCCTAAGCGCAACCTCATTGTCCCTCAGTTCCGGTAGAACGTTTCGTCCAGTGAAGAATTGTCGTCTGACTGCAGATCCAGGTCGAGGGGAATCAATCCCTTGAAGAATATTTCCCTGATCATCCATCACTTTGCAGTAGAGTTCTCCTCTTTGAAAAGCTCGTCGAATCTCTAAGACGGCTTCACCCATGAACCCCAGAGCAAGCAGATCGTCGTCAGATTCTTCTGAAGAATCGTACAGCGTATACTGACATGTGGTTTGATCGCCTTCCTGAACGTCACCTATCTTCACCCAAAATGCTGTACGCAAATCCTTCAAAGCGTCATCGGCTCGACGCTGTTGAAACTGATTGAGGTTCGGAGAGGTCGCGATCTTAAAGTGCTAAGTCGCACCAGAGCTCATTCCCATCATAGAGGACTCCGCCTGAGGGATAACAAGTGCTGCGAAAGTCTGAAAGTCCGGGCCCGCATTTCCATAGAACATGGTAGATCTTTGCATTACCACTTACCAAAACTCATTCAACATGCTGGCGATATTGTTGTTAGAGGTAGTGTCAATATCGTTCGGATCCGGGTTGATACGGTGAATTATTGTGGGTGGATTGAATTTGATGTGTAGTGAGGGAGTTAGGATTTGTGAGGATTCGTGGGGATTTGTTGATAGTAAAGAAAGATGGGTTTTCAGCTTTGAGCAGAAAAAGGTATGATTGAACTTCATTTGCAAGAGTTGTCTACCCAAATACAGGGTAATTATTCATCTTCATGTAGGAAGCTGTGAATCCAGTGGATAAATCAGCAATGCATCTCTTAAGTGTAAGTAGTGAATCTGTAAAAACAGCATTAGGGAGGTCAGCGCAGCACTTGATGGGGCAGCTGTCGAGGTAAATTCAGTTGACATATAGTGGGTGCTTTATTGTTGAAGTTGCTATCGTCAAAACGAGTTTGCAAGAGATTCCCAAATAAGGCTAGAAAATTACAATAAAATGGGGTAGACGGGTAACATGTTTACATTTGGTTGGGAAACACAAATCAGCGAATTAAAATTCCAGTCACTTCTGTCGTCATGCCACATAAAAAACAATTACAACGACTTCATGAATACCAACTCCCGCGCTATATTATATTCAACTGTTTCATTAGTTCTAGAATATTCTTATCTGTACTACTGTATGGTGTGGTGTCGCAGTAAGCAGCAGAACGAAGGCGACATTAATCTTGCTTGATATTCCGACGACCTTCGCACTATGAACTAGTTCAAAAGACCGCAGGAAGCCGCCGACTTCAACCGAAACCAAAAAGGACTTACTTCTGCTACTTTCCGTCCCCGTTCCAATCGAGAAATAGTAGTTTGAAAGCCCAGATCTCACTAATATTCAATGGCTCCGGGCTTCGAGCTTTGTCTTTTTACCAAAAAGATAGGGTCAAAGCGATCAGACAAACATGGGAGGAGCTTGATCAAGCCCGCAATGCATTACGTTGCAACCAAGCAAAATCAACAGCAATTCCTTCACTATCTAAACGGGATTTCGTTGACATTTTGCATAGTGAAGATAGAGTTTCAGACGCCTAAGCCAAGGTTTCGCCGGGGTTTTATATATGACTTTGTCTATGATCACTATCGACCAATGCACTTGCGCAAGATCTCTTCCGCGGAAGTTGGTAAGTTCATCGCCAGCAAGCCCCCTTTAAGTGATAACGAGATTCGCGGAAAGCTGCCAAATTGGCTTTACGACAAACTCCCTGCTTTCTTGCCACAACACGTAGACGCTCCCCCTCCGTGCCGCGCTTAGGATCATAGGATTAAAGTTGTGCCGGGGAAGGAACCTCTTTGTATCGTAGGTCATAGGCTAATAGTATATAATGGAAGCTGGCTCTGGTTAACGATTAAAATGGATTATATAAGCAGTGTGACACGTGATATTAAAGAATCTGTATTGAATAAATGATTTCTCTTATTCTACATTCAAGGGGAAAAAGCCTCTTTTTATGCTTTTTCCTTCTAATTCAGTATTTCCGCTTTTATAAATCTCTTATAAATCTTTTCCTAATCCATCCATTCTTTTGAAATAAAGCTCTTTTTCATATTCTTTATTTTTTATATCCGTTTTCGGATTTATGACCGTTTTTGGCTTAATAATCATTTTTGGATTAATGGTTGCTTTCGTAAGCTTATAGGCGACAATCATGTGATCTGATTATATAATATACTAATACTGAATTGAATGCTACTAAAAAGATATATATATTATATTATTTTTAATTAAAATAATAGTCCCCTTTAATATATATCATCTTTTTATATATATAAATATATATATATTAGTTTTATTAAAAACCTTTTTATTTTAAAGGAAAAAAGAGTACTAATTTTTTTATATATATATTTTTATTTTAATAATAATAATTATTAAAATTTTGAATTATATCAATAAATCTTGATAATTTGATTCTTTCTAATAACTTAATTAATTTATCAGCTAATTGATTTTCTATAGAAATCCATATTAAATCTAAATATCCTTTATTTATAAAATCTCTTATATAATAATATTTAGTATCAATATGCTTACTCCTATCATAATATATAGAATTATTTGATATAACTTTTGCTGATGTATTATCCATATATAATAGGAATTTATTTTGATTAAATTGATTTAATTCCTGTAGTATATGTCTTAAATATATAGCCTCTCTAGCGGCTAAATTTATAGCAATTAGCTCGGATTCTACTGTGTTTTATACTATGATAGATTACAATTTAGTCCTCCAGCTGATTAGACCATTAGTATATATAAATATATAGCCACTAATGGATTTAGTAGAGCTTTTATCTCCTATATAATCTACGTTGCAAAATCCTTTGATATATTTATTATTATCTTTTTTATATGTAGTTTTAAATGTTTTAGTCCCTTTTAAATATCGAAATATTCTTTTCATAGCTATTATATGGTTTTTACTAGGATTAGACGTATATCTTGCTAATTTTAATATAGAATAAGTAATATCCCATTTAGTTCCTAGTACTAAATATAGTAATTTCTTTATTGCTTTTTGAGCCCATTTTATTTTATCTAAATCGGCTTTATTGGGATTTATTTTTATATCATTTTTAGTAACCATAGGTGTAGCTACAGGGGTGCAATCTTCTAGTTTTAAGTCTTTTAGATATTTATTTATATATTCTTCTTAATATAATTTAATATAATCTTTATTTAAATTGATTTGAATATTTAAATAGTTTTTTATTAGATCTAAATCCTTTAGATCTAAATGGTTTTTAAGATTTTTAATAAAATCTTTGATTAGAATCTCACTAAAGCCTATAATAACAATATTATCAACGAATATATTCAATATTAATCCCGAATATTTATTTATAAATATACACTCGTCTGATTTTATATTAATAAAATTTAATTTATTTAATATGCTTTTTAATATAGTATATTAGATTCTAACGGATTGTTTTAATCCATATAGAGCTTTATTTAGCTTTAATATTATATTATTATTATAATATATTTCAGGGGCTTTAATATATATATTTTTATCAATATTTCCCTATATAAAAGCTAAAACCATATCTATTTTGTATATATACCACCCTTTATTTATTGCTAGTGCAAATATCAATTTTTAGGCCATTTGCTTTATCACACTAGCAAAAATATTTAAATAATCTAATCCATATAATTGTTCAAACCCTTTAGCTATATATCTAGCTTTAAATTCAATATTATCATTAGATAAATATTTAATTTTATAAATCTATTTTGTTTTTAGGACATTTAGCTCTTTTATATTATTATTATTCTTTTTAATAATAATATCCTAGATTTTATTCTTTTCAAAAGTCTTTATTTCATATTCCATAGCTTTTTTTTAATATTCCTTTTGATTAGAATTTATAGCTTGTGAATATGTTTCAGAAATTATTAGATTTTTATTATAAGGCTTTTTTATTATTACTTTTTTGTTAGTTTTTATATTGAAATATGTGACGCTAAAAGTGACGCCACTAATAGCCTTAGGCTAATTGGGTTTATATAGGCTTAATTCTCTCGTGACACACCCCCGAGATTGCTGACTAGCTGGTTGTAGGCAGTAATCTCTTTATACTAGCCTCATTGAGTCATATATGCGCAAATCTCTTTCTATATCCTTGTGCTGCCGAATCTAGGTTCTCTATGGATACATCTAATAGGCTATGTGGATATAGTGGGGCAACAGAGCAGAGCCTCCACATTGAGCTCTAATAGGCTAAGATTAGATGACTAATGTGGGTCTGTTGAAATACTCTCTTATAAGTGGGTCCACCAAGACCCTGCAAGAGAGCACGGTAAAGTGAAGAATTATACCATTGCGCTATAAACGCATACCGGGCTCATAACTGTGACGCTAAAAGTGACGCCACCAATAGCCTTAGGCTAATTGGGTTTATATAGGCTTAATTCTCTCGTGACAAAATATAATAATAATATATTCTTTTTATATTGATTGTTATCAATATTATTTAATTTAAATTTATAACTTTGATTCTTTGATTCAATATATGATATATAAACGAGATTATATATATCTAATTACGGTTCTACCCCTCGCGTATGCTTAAATTGCCTAACAGGGATAGGCAAATTAGAATTAAATAGTATTTCAATTATTAATCTGTTTTTATTAATATTAGAATCTTTAGAATCAATATTTTTATTTAAATCTTTATATATATTATTATATATATCTACCTCTTCTTTTTAATCATCAATATCAAAGTTTTCTTTTAACTTTTCTAATAGATCCTTTTTAATAAGATTATTTTTAATATTATTATTATAATATAGTATATCTTCTTTAATAATAAAATCTCTAGAACTTATTATCTTATTTCTATTTGGAATATAAAATAATAAATTCTTTGAAGATTCAAATCCTACTAAAATTCCTTTTTCTGATTTATAATCAAATTTATTATCTCTTTTTTCTTTATATTTTAATACATATACAAGAGATTCTAGAATCCTAATATATTTTATATTAGATTCTTTATTATATAATAACTTAAAGGGTAAGCTTTTTATAGTTCTATTATAGTGTCTATTCTTAATATAAACTATTCCTTTTAATATATTAAACTATAAGAATATAGGTAGATTTTTATCTCTTATAAATATTAGTATTCTTTTTATTAAATATCTATTTAATTTTTTAGCTATTCCATTTTGGGAATAATAATAAGAATTAATATATTCTAATATAATTCCTTTAGATTTAGCAAATAAATTCTATTGATTAGAATTAAATTCTTTAGCATTATCTAATCTGATCGCCTTTATTTTAATATTAAATTGATTATATATCAAATAAAATACTTCTTTTAATATATTAAAAGTGTCTGATTTAAATTTTATGGAATACATCTATATACCTCGTGTAGCCTAATTTGTAAAAATAATAAAATATTTTTCTTTTTTTAATTCTAATATTTTAAATAGTTTATAAATATTAGTACTAATTTTATCAAATTTGTTTAATTTCAAATTTGATAGGGATTTACTAATATTTTGAGTTATTTTACTGTATATACAGGCTTTACAATAACTTAAATTCATTTTAGAATCTTTTAAATTTAGTGTTTTTATAATATAATCTTTATTTATATAATTTAAACGCTTATACCATAGGTTTAAATCTTTTAGATTCATATTATTAGATTTTTTTTTAGATTCTGATTCTTCTTTAGATTTATTTATTTGATCTATTTTAGAATCTTTATTATTATTATAAATAATATTCTTATTTTGATTTAATAAATCATAATTTATATCGCATTCTAGGTAGAAAGTATTATCAATCCATTTAGCGTTCGCCTTTATATTTAAAAATTTATTCGAAAATTTATAAATATTACTGGGGGGTAGTATTTCACTAGCCCAACCCTTTTTAGCGGCTTGTTTGGTACTAATTAGAATTGATTTTAATAATGGAATATACTTTACTATTCGAATAAATATTTTCTTATTATTTATAATAATAGAAATATCCCCTTGCCTTAATACTAATATAGATTCTCTATTAGCTATATTTGTATGTTTTGGGACTTTATATTTTTTATAATTTATAAACTAATCTTTATTTGGGTAGTAGTACTCTGTAGCTTCTGAATCTATTATAATATTATTTTTAGACCTACTAGTATGATTGACTAGTATAGATATAGTCATAATATTATTTTCCTATTCAGGGCTAGATGCTAAATCATAGTCTATTTGAAAGGCCTGATTTATCTTATTATTAAAGCTTTCTTTATAATTTTTATCATTTTTATTATGATTTTTATTATTTTTCTTTTGTTTTTGATTGGAATTTTTATTATTTTTATTGTTTTTATATGTCCTATTGGATTTTTTAAGGTTATTTAACTCTTTAATAACTTTATAGAGTTGTTTTTTGGAATTACTCTTATTATTAGAGTTTTTAGACCTTTTATAATCCTTATTATATAGTTCTGGGTGCTTTTTGAAACACTTTTCTTCTAAATGCCCCTTTTTATTGCAAAATGTACAATTTGGAATAATATTTAATAGTTTTATAACTTTATTAGACTCTATAAAGCCTTTTATTCTTGATTCTTTGAATATTAATTCAGATATAAGCTTATCCAAATCAATATTATCATTATTATTTAAATCTTTTGATAATCCTTTTGTTTTTCATGATTTAAACAAATCAAATAAGTTATTTAGGCTATTAAATACAATTCATATTATATAAGCTTTTTACAATTCGAATTTTAATTCTTTTAAATATATATATGATAATAATATATGATTTGTATATTCATCCATATTATTAAAATCATTATAATTTGATTCTATTAATTTATTAAAATATCTGCCTATTATATCGAGTGAAGTTTCACCATAAATCTTATTTATAGTATCCCAGAGCTCTATTAGATTTGTTTTTTCCTTAAATCTTTCCACTAAATCCATTAATATTATTGATTTTAGTATCACTAGAGCTCTTTTGGATTTATTTTTGTATTCCTTCACTTTTTCGCTATATTTGAGATGAATTTCTCTTGAAATAAATGTATTATTTTCTTTAAAATATAGGGATCAATCGGGGCCTTTTTCTGAATCATCTATATAGAGTATAAAACCATTAGCCTCTAAAAAGAGCTTAGATTTATTATACCATTTTATATAATTAGAACGATCATTTAGTTTAGGACCTATAAACTTAATTCCTTAATTCATATTCATTTTTTATATATTTTTATTTAATATATATATAAATATTTTATTATAGTGTAGTAAATACTATATAATCAGAATCTTAATATAGCTTTTATAAAGCTTTATTTCGGGAAGTGATTAGATTTTAGCTACTACCTCTTAATATAAACCTATATAAATCCTTATATATAGATCTATTCAAGCTAGGGCACCTTCGTATAAGATATAATACTATACGATCCGCTATGGATAATGTACACGTATACGTATAGCTTCTAGGGACCTAGTTTTATTCTTTAACTAAGTTTAGTCTTAGGGACACAGGCTAAAAATAGGCTAAAAGAGCTTAATATATTAATAAATAATATATTTATATATATATTAATATAAAGAGATATATATATAGATTTATTGATTTATATCTCTTGATGTAAATATACAATTATAAGGAATTTGATATCCGTCTAAACAATCTAATTCCTTATTAATTATATTGTCTATTAAATCAATATTTTCGGATTCAAAATCAAAGAGATTAATATTCACATCTATTTGTGAATATATAATAGTATTCCTTATATAAATAGGGGACCAAGCGTTCTGTTGCGTAGGGTTTAATATAATAGTTTCTGTATTATAATTATATAATATAGAAATATTATATATTGAATCTTCGATGCCTAATTAATCTAATTCGGCTTGAGTTTCGTTTCCTTGCACTTTTGAATAGTATTTAACTATTATTCGAAATTCTATTTTAATAATAAGATTATTATTATTATAGGTTTCTTCCTTGCTTTCATATTGAATCGCTTTGTATTCCCTATTATTTAATTTCTTTTTGAATCTTTTAACAGTTTTTATAGATATATCCTAGTCTATAAGATTTATATAATATATAATTTATATTATAATATACAATATACTTTCATATATAAGGATTTGATATAATCTTAATTGATTGGCCTCTCTTCTCGCTAATCTGAATATTAAATCGATATTTTAATCTTCGATTTGAATTAGATTCGGATTTGTATTTAGTCCTTTCTCTATAATAGCGTTTTGAATATAAATCGGATTCCAGACTTCTTTAGAAGTAAAATTGGAATTCCTATTAATAGCTTCTGAATCAATATTATAATATATAGTTAAACTATAATTAGAATCTGATATGCCTAATGAATCCAATTGGGCTTGGCTTTTGGTTTTTTAAGCTATTAGATAGTATTTAATCCTTATTGAATATACGATAAAGTGATATAAATTGTTTATATATCTTTCTCTTCTTTTTTCGTATTGAATTATATTGTATTCCCTATTATTTAATGTTCTTTTATATCCTTTTATTATCCAATCAAAAAAGTCTTCAACTAATTCCATATATATTATAGAATCAACAGTATATATATAATTCGCAGATATATATAAGAATCGACAAGGGTTTGTATATAAGCGACAACTAGTTTTATACCTTCGATAAAATGTGATATTCAATTCTACTATGCCTAGTGATGTATAGTAAGGGGACTACTATACACCCAATAATATATAGTATTGATATTATATATGTCTGGTGATATGTATACTCCTTTTTATATTATTTAATAATATAATAAGGGTATTATATATATATATAAATATATATATATATTCTTAGAATTTGAATAAAAATTTGAGGTTGATATAAATTTGTATTAGTGTATAGAATCGCTTGTATAACATATAAAACATTTTAATTAAGTGAATTTCTTCGTATTCTTTGCTTTTAAATACGAAGTTGATTATCTTTCAGCTTTTTCACTCTTTTCTTACTTTTTCGACGCGTATTTCGATGTGCATATACTTCTTTTTAGTTGTATATATGAGTTTCCAGACTTATAACTTATTATAGATCATAAACTAATAGTATATAATAGAAACTAGTTTTGGTTAATAATTAAAATGGATTATATAAGTAGTGTGACATATGATATTAAAGAATCTATATTGAATAAATAATCTCTCTTATTCTACATTCAAGGGGAAAAAGCCTTTTTTTATGCTTTTTCCTTCTAATTCAGTATTTCCACTTTTATAAATCTTTTGTAAATCTCTTCCTAATCCGTTCATTCTTTCGAAATAAAGCCCTTTTTCATATTCTTTATTTTTTATATCCGTTTTCGGATTTATGACCGTTTTCGACTTAATGGTCGTTTTCGGATTAATAGTTGCTTTCATAAGCTTATAGGTGACAATCATGTGATCTGATTATATAATATGCTAATATTGAATTGAATGCTACTAAAAAGATATATATATTATATTATTTTTAATTAAAACAATACTTTGTTTTAAGAACCGTCCTTTATGACCATTGGAACTTGAAGTAGTTCGCGAGCGGATTGACGACAATCTTTCGTAAGGTTTTATCAGGGAAGCGAGGTCACGAAGTGCGGCTCCGCTACTCCTTGCAGCCAAGCCTGGCAAGGAGATGTACATTTGTCAAGATTACTGTGGCTTGAACAATGTTACCATAAAAATCGATATCCTTTGCCTGTTGTTCGGGGAGACTCTTGATGCATTATCTAATGCTAAAGTTTATACGAAACTTGATATCATTGCTGCCTTCAACAAAGTCTGGATCGCTGAAGGCGGTAAATGGAAGACAGCATCTATTACTCGTTTTGGACTTTTTGAGTCATTGGCTATGCCGTTCGGTTTGTGTAATGCACCGGCGTCCTTTCAGCATTACATTAACCACACTTTATTTGATGAACTAGACAAATATTGCACTGCTTATCTCGACGATGTCTTGATACATTTAGCGGGCAATTCTATTCTATTATTCTTATTTGATTTAAAGAATTCTTGACATACACTTCACATATCACCAACCCTATCTTGGAGAAAAGTTCAACAGTCTTGAGTCTAGACTATGATATGACGATACTTGTTCTACTAATCTGTATGCCAAGCTATGTTTGAACAGCAGTCGAAGCAGTAGAATTGGTACCATTTTCGGTAGTAGAGAATTTGAGGTCTTTCTGCTGATCTTTCTTCGCAATATCATCGACCTTACGTTCCGCTGCGCTGATAATTTGTTTGCGTAGATTGTTAACATCGAATATCCTCGCCTCCACCTTATTATCCTCAACCATAAACATCCAGGACTCTACACCATGATCCAAATTTTTGTTACCCTGGCGACAGTGCCGATGAAATCCTTGAGCCACAGTATCTGCATGGTAGTCAGGCTCTAAGAAGGCGACCGATATCGCTGATGCTAGAGTCAGCCCTACGGCAAAGGATGAACTAGTCGAAATAATGTATCTGGCGGTTCGCTGATCCTCGGCTGGTACTTTGGAATCGACATCAATATAAAATCTTGCTAATGCAGCGTTGATTTTCGTTTGACCCATAGGCTTGTATAAGAAAATAATATCCACAGGTTCAATTTTAAGAATGTGTATCATCCACTAAAACTCTTTGATTAGTGATACATCATAATTCCACGAGGAGAAGTTAATCATACCAGATACATGATGTAGGCACCCACAAAGAAATAGGAACAAAAGATTTGTCGTGCCAACTTCTTTTCAGCATCCCTAAAGTATTTGTATTTGTTGATCTTTTTCTCAATCTCACGAAGCTTGCCTGAAGATGCAACAATTTCATTCAGATAAGTGAAGTACGGATCGGTATCCGTCTCCTGTTTCCATTCTGGGTCTTTGCCTGTGCTTTTCGCTACCCACTCACCCTCTGTCAGTTTTAACGGTACGCCTTCGTCATCGATAAGGTCCATGAGTTTTGGGAAAGATGCGCATAACCGAGAACGATAGTAGATGTTAATGTTAGCCTTGTCTAATGACTTATATCCTTTGAGATGGCCATGTCTCACTTGATATCTCGCTCGACGTAACTTTTCTCTCTTTTCTAATCTCTTAGATTCTTCTTGACCAAGAGAGTCAACCCTAGGAGTCCAGTATGGTCCATTATTGCATTTGGTGTCGGAGTAGAGGTTTCGTGGTACAATAACAGGTTTCTCACCAAGAAGATCGCTGTTCGTAGTCCATCGAATCATAAGATTCTCTACCAATGGACTAAACCTCTGAGTTATTTCATGAGAGATATCATGAGTATTGATAGACCTGCTATCAGTCCATTTCTTCCATCTTTCACCAAGATCCTGTAACTCGTTATGCATCCAATTTTGCAAAACTACATCCTTCCTCCAGCGCTCGCAACACATCAATTGGACAAAACCAGAAATATCCAATGGTCCTGTCATCAAAGGCGTACCACTTAACAATACTAACGCGATTCGATGATAAACTTCATGTCTACAATCATGTAACAATTTCGCTTCGTTCTTGATATGTTGTCGCCTTTGAACATCCTGGATAGCTCTAATAGATTCTGTCCTTCGAAGCTGGAATTCATCTTTGAATAGAAGAGAAACAATACATGACTGATAAGCTGGTGTTTTCCGCCTTTGTCGCTGGGGTTTAGTGATATAGCGTTCCCCTTTTTTATTGATAGCTTCTTTACCTGGTGGCTGGTACCACCATGTCTTTGTATGCTGAAATTTATTCAAGAACTGGCTGGCAAATGAGTCTGGTGTGGTAATAACAAATACATGCCCATTTTGGAGGCGTGGTGTATAAATTGACGGCTTTTTCGGCTTTTCGGATTCCTGCAAAGATTCATCTTCATCGTTTTGGTAGACTTCTTCCTGAATAACCTCTTCACCTTCCAATAGATCCTGCGTACTATCATTCAATTGATCACCTCCACTAGCATTAGAAGTACCATGTGCTTTAACCAAAATCTGATCAGGAATGCCTTTGAAGCATTCTGTATGCTCGGCCTTCCAAACATTCAAAAGACCAAGGGGAACGAGAGCAACAGTAACACCTAGTCTCTCTTTCAACCAGTGATTTGTACTGTCAGCAGAGCAAGGGCAATCGAAGCCATATGTTTTATACATCTGCATATTGGCTGGGCATTCGCCATGTACAGTATGGGCCTTCGAATTGGCACGTATGTCAGCCCACATCATATTGAAGATGTGTTGAATCCAGTGGATCGCGAGTGCCATAGTGGTTTTTCCAATACCCATAATGTGACATAAGAAAATAGACCCTGCAATTCCATGAATTTGACGAAGACTATACCATACACCATGAAGTTGACAAGGTAGTAGTTGATGCCCAAAACCGCCAGGAACCTTAACACAGTATACTGGTTTCTTTAGAGTGGGCTTATGATGGATAAACCGGCAAACTTGAATCCAAATTTGCTCGTTGAAATGCATACATGCTTCAGAGTCGCAGCCTGCTTGTAGCCTTAAAAAAATTAGTCAATGGGCATGCGAGAGCTCAAACATTACACACCTGGTTAATTCCTCGCGTTGAAGTTGATCGATATATTCCGACATAGCAGCATTATACTCGTCCTCATCTTCAAAATCCTCCCTATCTGGCTCTCCTGTAATCTTACTCGAATCGTAAATATTTTTCAATAGAATTTCGGGATTGATAGGGATACCCTCCTCTTCTACATCCTCAAACATCTCTGATTGCGATTTCTCCAGTTGTTTTTCCAAAGATTTTGGGCTTGAAGACTGGACTTCTGGATCCAAAATGGTAGGCGCTAGTGTATCCATCACCGGTCTTTCCTCAACTTGAGGTTGTATTAAAGGTCCATCACTCGCATTTGTATGTTGAGAAGATAGAGTTAAGTTTTTAGCCTTTTTATTTTTGGGTTGCCCTTCTAGTTGCTCAGGTCCCTGTCGTTTGCTGCTGTTTGATATCGATGCTGCCTTTGTATTATGGAGGGCAATAAATTTTGAGGTTGGGCGTGGTGCGATGAGACCTGGAAAAAGTGCTTCGTTCTCGAAGTTGAGTTGCTCGGAGTTGAGTTGCTCAATGTTACGTTTGTCGTTACCATTATCATTATCAGTCTCTTTCTCTTTCATTCCTTTTGGTATAGCTTCGTTGTCTTCGTCGTTCTGCTCCACGGTCCCATCATCATCAATAGCATAAGATTGCTGTATCACTCCGACGAGATCTGTATATAAAACCCGGTATACCATTCGCATATTTATTGGAATATCATTGGAATTGTTCAGGTCCTGATCATTCGAATCAACGGCACACCAAAAGTCAATCCCAATGCCTGTGGTTTCGGCAAAAATGGCCCAGTTAACATTGTAGAATCCATTTACTGGGACCAATTCGCTAGCGATAAGTAAGGGATTGGGGATGCTAGGACTGAAGTCGATTTCGAAGTTGGTTTCCTCTGTTTTAGGCCTTGTACTCTGATATGACCAACCTCTTTTTCCCGCACCACTATTTGCGATATCGTCTTCGTCGTTATTCATCACTTGCGATGAGTTCAGGCTTGGACAAATAAATACCATTATAGGTACTTTGTAATCTGTGACTTGGTTTGCCACAGATCCCTCTTCATCAAAAAATTCCCACATCTTAACAAAGGGCATCTGGTCAATAGAGCCGTCAACAATGCAGTTTTCCCCCTATTCAGTATTTAGCATTTGACTCCCAAAATCTGGTATCCGAAAACATACTGGTTGGGCCCACCACTGGATGGTCTTCACTTGCTTTTCTTTTTTCATCTTGCCATTTTCATTCATGATATAGTCATTCACAATATCTGCTTGAGGCAAATTGGCGTGCTTTTTCTTGTCATAGTATTCCTTCCTCGCAAGGCCTATCCAGTAATGGCTTTTTCTAATCGACATAATAGATGTGACTGCCCGAATCACGGCCCCATAAGCCACGATTGTCGCACTATTCACAGTCAGATACCGATAGACCAGTTCAGCGGGTGATATATGCCAACCTATTGCAATCTCCCAATAGTACAAGTTTTGTGTTGCGAAAGAAAGGTTTCTTGAGAAACTGTTTTATGCATGTTTGCAAAACTATAGAATTGCTAGACCCTCCCATCAAGAAAACTTTTGAAGGCGGAGAGCAATCAGGCCGTGCATGATATTTCTCACATTGTTTTGTGAGGAAAGTTGTAGTGAGATGCATCCATTCATTGAACCAAGATTTCATTTGATCTCTAATACCAAAAATAGTAATTAGCAATAGTAGAGATGTAGCAAGGGATGTTTACCTTGTAACTGTGATCTTTTGTCCACAGATGCGATATGCCCTATCAATTTCCTTCCCAGACTGTCCTGTGTACGCATGCATACTTCTGATAAAACTCGCTTTTAAAATGGCTAGGTCTGATTCGAAGTAATCGAGATCTTTTGACTCTTTCTTACATTGGTTACGGATGTGCGACTCCCAAAGCTGTAGAACAGTCCTCGACCCTGCAAACAATGCTAATAACAATATCAGCAAGACTTCTCACTTTTACAGGGCTTGAAAGAATGACTGACCGGCAGGTGGCATGATTTCCTCAACTTGAGTCGGAGCACTAGACATCTGACGACAGATGCTGAAATCCTGGACTTCTATTCAGTAATAGATTGGTGAATGATGGGGAAATTTACGAACAGATGTCCCTTTACCAACGTCCAATGTAAAGAAAACATCGCCATCCATCATTCCTGTCTGTTCTGGGGATTGGTGTATCAGTCCTGCAATGGCACTCTCTATCTCTGATTGCAGCAAATATCTGCCAACAAGAACCGGAGAAGCATCGAGAGCAGAAGTATACAATGCGATGCTATCCTTGTTCCAATTAGATGGAACGGTAAAAACCCAGATGAGATCTCCTTTAAGATCGTCTTTAACGATGTTTGATGTCACCAGCTGCGCAAGCCAAAGGATGTAATCAGCTAGCATCCAGATTTCCGGGTTAGCCGCCAGCTCAGTATCACTATATCGAGTCCTAAGATAAGGAATCTTGAGTGCAAAATTTCTGAGAGCCTCTTTTTTGTCTTCTGCTTCTGGTCCAGAATACAATGCTTCCTTGATCCTATCTATAACCACTGCACCAGTCTCATCACCTACAGGGTCGACTTCGTATCCATGTTGAGCTTTGGATTCATCAGTTTCGCCAGGGATATGAGCGCATATGGTTGGGACTTCTGTTGTTAGCTCCGGTCGCTGATTTGGATTATTGGAATAGCGATAAAAGTGGGACGGTTTGATGCTTTCCAAATTCGTGAACTCCCCCGACTCGACCTGAATGTTGTCATGGTTTATGCATGTGTTTCCGGTACCAAAATCGCATGCTAATACTTTGTAAATGCCGTCGGAAGGGAAGTAATCTCGTAACGCAGCTGGAATGCGACCTTTCAGACTTGACTTTGATTGGCCAGTCGTTTTTAGCGGTGGTGTATTTTGACTTTGTGTCATCTTTGATATATGGGAAAGAGATAGATTTATAATAGAAGGTAAAGAGGTCGGGCGATTGAATGTGAGCTATGATGCCTTGGTAGCACAGTACTCTAACTCACACGTTTTCAAAGGTGTCAACGCAAACAGCAGAACCTGTCGTGATATATCAGTAGAGTGGTATAGAATTGCATAGGATCAAGAATGATAGGGTATCGTAATTGTGCTTTGATGTCTTGAGAGCTCGTAAAGATAAGAAAAGTGTGGCAAGGCTGGTGGCAAAGCTGGTGAACGAGTTTTCGGTGCAGGTGAGAGGTCATTAATCGCAATCAATAGAACAGGAAGTCTCAGAGCGCGTGTCGCAAAATCAAATCGAACCACACAGTCAAGTGGAATACTTGCCCTCTTAATATTGTGATTGAAAAGAAAGGAGATGACTGAGATCATACACGCTACCGTTTTGAAAAAAGGTTACAATGCTTCATTTGTCGGGGTATTTTCATCAATGTTGAAAAAAGAAAATACGGCGTAAGGTTACGCTTTGAAATGCAGCAGATCAAACGCGCGCGATCAGGTGATTCGGCCAATTCATCGCGTCGCGTTCAGCCTTTTCCGACTTATCGGTTTTTATTTCCTTTTTAACAGTAATCACCTAACAGATTATACAATAACAATTCTTTGCTTATGACTCTTGTATATCTGAGTTAGTGTTCAAAGAGACGGTTGAGTCTCACCAAAGAACACTCAATGGAGACTGAAACATCATTGGCATCTCCCGAAAAACGCTTCAAACCATGCAGCTGTTGCGATTTCGATCCTCATGAATGGCCTCTCAGGATTGCTACCTTAAAAATCCGGCAATGTATGAATAGATGTGTTTATTGTGGAAAGAAATTCGCACCCGCCTCAAGACTGCGAAGACATCTTAAAGAATCCAAAAAGCATAAAGCTCAGCAATTTACTATTGTAAATGAAGGTGCTGGTAGACCGCCTAGAAAGTGAGTCAAGACTCTTTCTTATTTTGATAACAGTAGGGTTAGTAACAGTGCAAAATCGTACAGAAATATCGACAATAGCATTTCCAGTTCCATATCCAATGGAGGGTCATGCCACGCTTCTAATCTGTCTTCCACAACCTCTGCCCACGAAGAACAAATATTGTGCATGGAAAGGGAAGACTTTGATGATAATGTGGTAGGAACGTTCCGAAAGCTCAGTCTATCCACCGTTCACGACATATCACCAGAGATGAAAGAGCTATGGATAAAATATAATGGTAGAGTGCCCGAAAAACTCAATGCTCGTCGTTGTTGGACAGATGAAAGACCCAGCGATGCCAAGCTGTTCACTGCTACCGTCGAGCAGATACAAAACTCATCTGCAACCTGCACTATCATTCAAAGAGGGGAGCCTGCCGACAAGAAAGAAGCCATTCGAGCTGTTGCACAATTAGCTTTTCCGGATCCCTGGAATCCATTGAAGCTGTCAGATCTCCGCCTTCCTATTTTAACGAATGATATTTTCAGAGTCCCGAGCGACCTAGTGTGTGCATACGAAGCAGATAATTTACAGGTTATGCTTACCCCAAAGTATTCTTGGACCCAGCTGCATTTTGGTAAGTTCTTCACACATTAGCTTTTCGAACAATTTGGGGTCTCGATTAACAATCACAGATAACGCAGAGGGCTTATCTGGTATTATTGGCAAGACAGGCAAGAAGATTTTTGCGACCTTTCCAAACAGCCCTAATAATGTAAAACTTTTTCGAAGTACTTTGGGCAGAGAAGCAAAGCTGGAAGAAATTGGCTTGTTACTTGAAGGAGGACTCACATTCACAATAACTTCTGATGATGCTATCGATTTGCCTGGAAACTGCTTCCATGCAGTGTGGACACTTGAAGGCTGCTTTCTCGCAACATTGGACTTTATCACCCCTAGTACAATCAAGGTCTACTCGAGAATCATATGTGCAGGGTTAGATGAGTTTGTTGGGGCGATGCGCCAGAAAGATTTGTTTGACTGGCTTCTTACATCCTTTGAGATAGCTTATAAGAATGGGTCTGTGGGTGACGCTGTTTCTTCATGGATCGAATTGTTGGATCACACAAAAGAATGGGCGTATGGAAATCTCAAATGGTCAAGGAAGGCAATAGCTTTATGTGAGGAATTTTTGTCATCGCCCGCTTCGTTAGACCAGATTTGTCCATGTGGAGAGGGGCAAGGAAAGGCATTTCGGCAACACTTCCGAGACTATCATCTTGTTCAAGTCTCAAAAAAACGACGTTAGACTAGAGTAATAAACCTCGAAAGAAACCATGCAAATGATATTCGAGGTGAATTTGGTCAATTTGGTCAATTTGGTCAATTTGGTCAATTTGGTCAATTAATTTGGTCAATTTAATGAATTTGGTCAATTTGATGAATTTGGTCAATTTAATGAATTTGGTCAATTTGGTCAATTTGGTCAATTAATTTGGTCAATTTAATGAATTTGGTCAATTTGATGAATTTGGTCAATTTAATGAATTTGGTCAATTTGGTCAATTTGGTCAATTAATTTGGTCAATTTAATGAATTTGGTGAATTTGGTCAATTTGGTCAATTTGGTCAATTAATTTGGTCAATTAATTTGGTCAATTTGGTTAATCGTAGGTCAGGCTGCCCCCACTCTGACCCGCTCCACGACACAAGGTCGTAAAACGTGAGCTCCAAGTCCCAAGATTGAAACTTTTGGGAACTTGCACAACTGCTCCATTTTCAAGTCGATCTTGATGATTTTAACACGGTTCGAAACCCGAGAGTTGAAGATATTGAAATGGTTGGAACTTAGTTGCTAGGGTGAATAACCGCGTGGAAAAGTCACATTTCTACTCTTCTCCTTATAGATAATGAGATTCTACAGGAGACCAATCCACCCGAACCGTGGTTAACCGTCACCACAATTTTAGCTCAGACTACCCGTCGCTAGCGAAATCGTAACCTAAAAGTGTTACCGTTTGCGGGGAATCCACTTATTCGTCAAGTTTTTCTTCAGCAACGACCACCCCTTCTCGACGAGCTAAATTTGCCTCATCAGGCTATCTCGCTTGTTCAAGATTTGGGCTTGGATGTAATAAATATTATTATTATTAGTGATTTTCAGCCGGGATGTGTAGGCGAACCTTCCGAGGGGCATTACGGCTGGGCTAGCTGTAGGAAGATGCCACGGAAATCACCGTCTTGTGCAACACCACGTGATTGAGCCTGGCACTCTTCCAGAGTGTCTATCCCCCATGATCACAAAACGCTCTCTTGTTCTATATATCAGTGAACCCTAATACCTAATTAGGCGACCCTGGCGCCCGATCAGGGTATATAAGGCAGATATGAGCCTTATGATCATACCTCAAGTCAATCTAGTTATAATCACCATATATACCTGTCTGCTAAAAGATCATATAGGTGTTGGTGGAAAAGCCTTAATATTATAAAGCTCTACATAGAGATACGATATATATGTGTGGACTCGATAGAGTCACATGCGGGCTAATCCCGATACAGCATAGTGTGATATGCGGTATAAGCACCTTTTCTAACAGAGGTTATATATACACAGTACATGTGTCATGTCACGTTTTCCAACATCCTCCCTATAGTCGAATCGACCATATAAAACATATAGATTCTATCTATATATAAGGTGATGGAAAGAGCCTCATTAACTCCTGCAACAGTACCAACTCCTCTGCCTCTGAGTTGCCTGTGGCGTCTACGTCTCCTGTGGAGTTCGTTCGTTCGATCCACCCTACGATCTCCTATCGTAATGGGGTGCAAGAGTGCTCTCTTTGAATTCGATTTCCCCAACCCATATCAGATGAAATGATGTATAGAATTCATTCATATGACTTTGTTGGAAATCATATATATGATCTAAGCAGTATGCTGGTAACAAAACATCTTTTAACAGACCAGCTTCGAATTCGTTATTGTCCGATCGTAGCATCACCATTTTCCCATAGTAAATCATCTAGATCCAATCGTGTGTGAACAGACCTTCAGCTTATCTGTTATCCCACGTCCCACGTGAAGTGATATAAGCGATTTGGTCAATTAATTTGGTCAATTTGGTCAATTATAATAAATCAACCAACTCAACCAATTCGGATGATTTTTGATAAATTCAATAAGTGTAATGTATCTGGTGAACCTGAAGAATCTGATGCAATCGACGAAATTAGTGAAATAGGTGGGCTGAGTGATTTTTATTAGTTTGGTCAATTTGGTCAATTTGGTCAATTTGGTCAATTAATTTGGTCAATTTGGTCAATTTATAATAAATCAACCAACTCAACCAATTCGGATGATTTTTGATAAATTCAATAAGTGTAATGTATCTGGTGAACCTGAAGAATCTGATGCAATCGACGAAATTAGTGAAATAGGTGGGCTGAGTGATTTTTATTAGTTTGGTCAATTTGGTCAATTTGGTCAATTTGGTCAATTAATTTGGTCAATTTGGTCAATTTATAATAAATCAACCAACTCAACCAATTCGGATGATTTTTGATAAATTCAATAAGTGTAATGTATCTGGTGAACCTGAAGAATCTGATGAAATCGACGAAATTAGTGAAATAGGTGAGTTGAGTGATTTTTATTAGTTTGGTCAATTTGATCAATTTGGTCAATTTGGTCAATTAGAGTTAAATCAACCAAATCGACCAAGGTGACTAATTTGACCAAATGCGACTATTAACTCTCTTTGACACATTCGTATTCAGCATTCCAAATCCAATCCTAGACCTTTTCCATAGGTTATAAAGCCAGGGTATGTGAGCTGTTTTGTAAAGATATCGGCTGTCTGCTCAGTTCCTGGAATCCACGTGACATATAGACTTTTGGTATCAACCATGTCTTTTCGAATATAATGCCATCGGTTGTCGATGTGCTTTGCTTTGCTGTGAAACTTATTTTCTTGCATCCAATCAAATCCTCTTGCGTTGTCACAATATAATATTGGGGTAAAGGGCTCTTCCTCAGAGCGTTCTCCTAAGTCTTTCACTAGCTTTTCCATCCAGGCAATCTCTTTTGCTCCTTCATTGGCTGCTATAATCTCAGCTTCCATTGTACAGACGTCGATTTCTGTTTCGTTGAAGACTACACTATAGCACCACCATATCAGATGAGAGCTACTCCTTGAACGGATTTCCTGTCGGCTGCAGATCCCCAGGTTGAATCTGTATAAGCTCGATATTCGTATGCAAGCATATTAGTCGATTTGAATAGACTGTGCCAACTGAGTGTGTACCAGCGAGATATTGAAGCAAGTGTTTTACAAGCACTAGATGACTTTCCCCCGGTGCGTGCATAACACGAGTAAGCTGGCCTACAGCATATGCTATATCGGATCGAGTGCAGTTTGAAAGATAGATAGTGCTACCGACAATCTGAAGATATAGAGTCGTGTCGTCTTCGCAAAGAGGCTCATTTTCGTTCGCATCTCGTACAACTGCACCGGGAGGTAGAGGTAAATCTTTGGTATCAGTGAGATTGATGCCGAATCTGTGTAAGATTTTTTTCGTATAATTCGATTGGTGTAATTTGAGTGATCGGTCTCGTTGATTGCGTTCGATTTGAATGCCTAGGATCATGCTAGTTTCACCGAGATCCTTGCATTTCCATCGACTTCCGATCGTCTTTTTCATCGAATTCACATTGGTGCGATTTCCTATTATCAGCAGATCATCTACATACAGTAGAACATATACTCCCTTTCCTGTAAAGAGGTAAGGATCTGCTGTAGATTCTTCGAGCCCAATCTCTTTGAAGAACCTTCGTACAACTGTCCACCAAACTCTTGGAGCTTGTTTTAGCCCGTAAAGGGACTTTTTCAGTTTGAGATATGGCTTGTGTTTGAGCTTGATTTCGGGAAAGATTTCTTCGAAATATCTTGGCACTTCCATAAGGATTTCTGTATCCGTTCGCTCACCATTCAATAAAGCAGTATCGACATCCATATTGTCGATCTCTAAATCTTCTGCTGCAGCTTTTGCCAGTAGTGTTGAGTACCTTGCCACGCCGGCGAAAGTCTCTATATTTTTGAAGATAACCCTTGATTACTAGTCTTGCTTTTCTTCTGGCCAACTTGCCAAAGCGATCTAGTCTATTTCTCAGAACGTATCTGCTACTTAATAGCTTTCTGCCTGCGGGCACAGCTCCATTCATGACTTCGAAGGTACCATTATCCTTGAGACTCTGCAACTCATTTCTGATTGCTTCCATCCATGCTTGGGCGTCCCCTCGCATTCTCTACTGTTTCTTCCAGTATTGATTCAGAGTTGCTGATTAAGGAGTCTTCAGGATGTACGGAGGTAGGATGTAGTGCAACTACATGCTGAATAACCTGATCACTAAAGATCTTTCTCAATCGTTTCTTGCAACTCTCATTCAGAGCGTCTCGGACTAGAGTGGCTGTCGGAACAGGTCTCACTCTTGGATTTTCTACAACTACTTGTACTCTTTGTCTTGAAGATGAAGGTACTTGCACATTTTGTGCTGGGTGTCCAGTTCCCTGTAGTTGTCGCTGCCGTAGCATTCGCGAAGGATAGATCCGAGCTTCCTCTAGCTCATTTTGGATCTGAGCTTCCTCTTGCTCATTGGTGTGTACGTCTTCTTGTACATCTTCTTGTGCTGCCAATTGCACCCTTCTTTTTGTAGCCTTTTGCTTGTCATGTGAATGAGGTTTCCTTTTCCTCTCTGTCCCGGGCGGTTCTGGAATCCTCTTTTCTTTGGGTTCTTTGAATGGGTATCTATATTCATTGTCGTCAGCATCTGCTGTTCTAGTGATAGTTTTGGTATGAAGATTGAGGAGGCGATAGATATTATTTCCATCCATTCCGATCATAGTATGCTCTCCTTTGAGTACTCTAGACTCGAATTTCTTTGTCGTCAAACCTGGTTGCTGAGGGTTCCTAGCTCACGCTTTACAACCGAATATCCTGAGCTTCTTAAAGTCAGGTTGTCTACCATACATAGCTTCGTATGGTGTTATCGCTGTAGAGAGCATCCCTGCTTCTCCAAAAGGCAGTGCAAGTGTTCCAACTGAGATGAGTTGATTATTTCGAAAGTCTTTAACGTACCAAACATCTCTTAATGTGAGGTTGCCTATAGTAGCTATCCCGTATGCAGTACTAGTAGCATACACATGATTCACTGTGTTGACTTTTCGTGGTACATCCCAGCATATAACATTGGTAAGATTTTCAATAGAGCCAGTAAAACGATGAGAGGCTCCTGAATCAAGAACCCATATGTCATTTTGGACTTCAGCACGCATTGTAGTATGAGGATAGAGGGAACCAGTATATTCATCTGCTATAGCTACTCGCGCAAAACCATCATTGTCAGTCTTTTTATCTGAATGCAAGGCTTCTCTAGCCTTATTGTACTCCCAACAAGCATCTTGCCAGTGTCCTTTCTTCCTGCAGAATTTGCAAGTGTAAGGTTTAGTCTTAGTTACTTTGCCAGAATTTGGCAAAGTTGTATAGCCTCTCTCAGGCATATATTTTCTTCCATTTCCATGATATTCTCCACGTCCTTTTCCACCCCTTCCTCGACCTCTCTTATTACCTCTTCCCCTTAAATTTCCTCGCACAGCATTTGCTGTTGCTGATTGATTTGTAACACCTCGAGGAATCCTTTCGGTTTGCTGTAGAAAGTATAGTGCGTCTTGAAGATTCATATTTGTAGACATAATGAAATTGCGTTGAGTCTGCCAAACTTCTGTTTCTGGTAGTGCGTTTAATAGTTGAGTGTATACCTCATCATCAGAGATAGGTTGTTGTGTTGTAGATATTTTATATTGATAATCGAGGAGTCGGTTGAGGAAGACTTGAATAGTCTCGGTTTTAGGATCGAATCGTTCGTGGATAAAGTCTTTTCGGATATCTTGGATGTATAGTGGGTTCGCGGTATTGTCGAATGATAGAAGTTTCGTCCAAGCACCTGTAAGATCACCCGCCATGAACATGGGCATAAGTCGAGAGCGATATATAGGAGTCAGGCACGAATTGATAATGGAGAATGCGATTCCTCTTCTCTTTCTCCATTCGGCATCTTCGGCACTTTTGGCTCCAGGTCCTCCTTCTGCTCCTGTACATATTTCTAGCGTAGTAGCTGAAATCATCGCAGCCCGAATAGATTCATAGAATTCTACCCAGTTGTCACCCTTGAATATGACTAGAGGTCCCCATTTTGTCTGTACTGTATCGACAGCAACTTGGCCTGCCATGTCTCGAAAGTGGGGGTTCGTGATATCAGATATGTTTAAAAAAAAATAGTATAAAAGAAGCTTATAATAACACAGGGCTTATAACCTGTCAGAAATAGACAGCAAGTTACGCATATAGTGTGTAGTTTTCAATTGTAGTATATATAGTATATATTCTATAAGTAAGTAGAATGAATATGTAAAGGTTTGATATATGTGTGCACATGCCATGTCACGTGTTTTCCAACGATTATACTAATATAAAATAACAATAACTTATCTCAATATTCAGAATCTCTTCGTCGACAATAAATCATTCTATACTTTGAGGTTATTGATCATACTGATCTTTTTAGTGTTATTGCGCTTATTAATCATTCGAACCAATCAGAGATCGAGAGGCCGTTTATCTCCTCGAGAGTCTGAGAGTCTTTGGTTGTGTTTTTTTGGTGAGGAACTGAATCTGTTAGGTGAGAGCGCTTCAATAACATACTTCACCCTTTCAACCATCATTTATTGAAAAACTAATCAGAGTATTCAAAAGAGCTCAATTGACATTATTATATGAATCAGCTTTAAATTGATTGGAGTTATGGTGGTGATAAAGTTCAATTGGGAAGATTTTTTTCATAAACCCAATTGGCCTGAGGCTATTTGTGGCGTCACTTTTGGCATGGCAGTTATGAGCCCGGTTTGCGTTTATAGCGCAATGGCATAATTCTTCACTTTACCGTGCTCTCTTGCAGGGTTGGTGGACCCATTTATAAGACAGCCACATTTGGCCTGTGTGTTATTATCAGGATCTCGGGCGTGGTAACGAGAGGTGATTGAGGTCAAAGCTTTTCCCAAGCCTAGTCACTTCAGGCCTCATGTTATCTATCATCTGATAAGATGCGATAACACAAATAGAGAACATTTTGGGATAATAGAGCTTAAATCAGTACGCATATTTATCAACCGCAGCATTCCAATACCATATTTTGATATAGCTTGATAGAAATGTTTGTTGATATGCCCTGATTGTTTTCTATCTACAGGTTGTCAAAGAATCTTCAGAGAGTTCACGCCATTACAGCCTAACTACACTGGTTTTCCTCCTCAGTCGCATAAGCATGATAATAAATCCCACCAAATGTTTACCTTTGTTGTAACATAGCACTCATCCTTCTCGCAAGTCTTCATCCTTTTCATATATACATTTCTGTATTTTTATTTTCACAAATTCTGATACAAAGATTGCAGGCAGAACCAATTCATATTTACTGTACGAACGTCTCATCAAACTGGGTACAGCGAAAGAAAAGAGGCGTATGATTGATGCCATGGCTCTACGACAATCGTGCAAAAGAAGAGAATTGACAGGAGCAAGATGGATTCATGGTCCTCATAATATAGCAGATATCATGGAATAGGCAGATATTGATAGAGCGTTGAGAAAATTTGTCAACACTAATACCCTAATCGTACGAGCTGAAGGGTGAATGAATGAACGTGTGGGTACAAAGATCAGCTAGATCTTCGTACCAATAAATTGGGAACACATGTAGTTAATGATATTTAATTTTTTTATTTTCCTATTGAAAAAGATTTGCTTTCAACAAATAAGTCGCGTTTCAAACCCAAAATCCAAAACGCCAAAACCAGAGTACGGAGCTAATCCACAATAAGAGGCTGATCCTCAGAGGCGCCATGAAGCAAAAGAGTTTCTCTTCGTCCTGAAGATTTGTGATCGGCCGAAGGGGGAGGAGTAGGACTTCGATCGGGAGATGCGTGAGGGGGAGGGGTAAGACTTCGATTGGGAGATTCGCGAGAAGGGAGAGGAAGAGGATTGCGTCGTCTACTCGCAGGGCTAGAATGCGAACGATCGGATCGTACACACCGATTACCATGGTCTCGCCATTCACAGTTTCCACAGCTGTTACCGAAATGGCTTTCGACACGACGACAATCCGGGAAAGGCCTTAAACCATGAAGACGACACTCCCCACATGAATTCTCAACGAGTATTCCCCGACTCTGAATTAACAACCCATTTATACACTGAGCCTGCATAGACTCAACTTCGGCAGTCGTAATAGAGTCTCGGACAAACGAAACAGGGTTTCCTAGCATGGCCAAAAGTGCCAGTTGGGGAGCATTGTGACAATCTGGTGCGAGTTGTCGTCCGCTAATATGAAGAACAGGATTTCGACTTGGCTGAGCTTGCGCGCACGCAGCATTATACGTTTGAAGGGCCGCCCTGATGGTGCGAATTTTATTAGCACATGTACAATGCTATGCTAGCAGTCGCTGTGGGGTAAATTTGGGTGCAATCAGCTTATCTCTCGGCAAGAGTGGGTCATACATTTCGGATGTTCGGATAAAGTCGATCTTCCATTGTTTCAAAGACGTTAGCTTGCATACGAAGCTGGGCATGCACATATTCAGACGAATATTCAACTTACGAGATTCGGGGCAACTGGTCTTGATGATCTTACTCAAGATATTTGGTTGCTGAGAGCTTGCTTTGCGATACTCTTTTGATGGATTGTGGGTATCAGGATTGGCCTAAGCGGTAAGGTGGATTTTGGTCACGTGTAGAATGTCACGCGTACCATGAATCGGTTTCGTGTGTGAGAAGAGAAGCCTGGTCTGTGCTGACATTATACTACATGTTAACTAAATCAGTGTCTTCCTCCCGCTGTTCTATATGGCGATTATACTCGCTTGACCACTTATCCCCAGGTCGGCAGAAATTTAACAAGTCCAGCCTCTTGCTGCCTTATCGACACCAGGACAGTACACAGGATCCGTCATTCGTGAGAAGAGAAGGAGAAATCATTTCTGGGAATTGTAAAATTAGGGGATATTGATGAAACATCAGACCCCCCAACCCTGCCATTTGATGATGCTTCGAATTCCCATGAATTTGGGGGCGGTTACACAAGCCAAACACAGAGCTCTTCCACTCCTGAATGTCCACATGTGTTCATGCGTAGTACATGGATATTTGAGCGTCCCTCTTGTAGAAGCCCGGGTAAGCATCGGTTACTAAACCCGATCTTTCCTGATTCGTCAAATAATCAGCCTTCAAGCTTTTCAAATGCTCATTCTCCTTAAGAATCTTCTCAGCATTTTCATTCTTGGTTGTTCATACCTTTCAGCGATCCTCTGGACAGTTTCGTCAGGATATAAGTTAGCTTGAATGTTGAGTTTTATCATATTCGTCACCGAGAAGTCTGTCCTCGACTCCCCGGTTTTTAGCTGGGTGACGTGAATAGGCTATACAACTAGGCTACATGCAAATTGATACCACTTACCAATTCTGCTTAGTTGGTAAGATGAGGCTCAATACGGGCCCCTCTTTTTCTCGGCTTCAACGTGAGAAAAGAAAAAGTTTGAGAATCGGCTTTTCAATGTTTAGCACAGCTAGCGACAATGACTGACGCTAATATGGACGACGCGTTATATGCCACTCAATTTGAACCTCGTGATCTGAGCCAATTACATCACCATATCACGATCCGGGATTTTGGTGAAAAGCTACAGAAAGCTGCCAATGCAGCCTACCCGAACGATCAACAAGGTAAGGGCGCTGTTCTCTCATATCGTGCTTCTCAATGTCCGAATATATGTAAATGTTTCATGGCTTCTCATTGTCTAGCTTTATGTGAACATTTCGCTGACTTGTGTGAATACTATGCTGGCCTCTTGATATCCAATTTTAAGTGAATGTTTCGCTAACCCCCAAATATTGTAGCTAAATATACCCGAATCTATGTTCTTCTTCTATTATGGGATGGCGAAGACCCTGCTTTGCATGTTTTGATTGAAGTCCACGAACTAGGCATAGTTCTCGCTTCGATTTACAAGTTCGAAGTTGAGATCTAGCGGATACCTAACAACGCAAGTCACAAGAAGCTGAATCAGAAGATCTTGGACTTTATTGAACTAGGCGATGACAATAAAGAGGACCTGAAATTTGTTTATCATGGTGAGCACGGCATGCTAGCTCAAAATTGGCAGCCATGTTGTACCAGGTATGTGAACGGGAATGTTTTTACAGACCAGTGTCGATATCAAATTCCCATCGGGCACAGTGTGCAGTGTACCCAGTAGTCTAGACTGCAATCCGGCAACAAAAAACTTTTGATTGTTTCATTCGATTTTATATTGTTTGTATGAGAAGGATACGGAAGACGTAGCACCCACGATTGCGTAGGTCCTAATTGTCTAATTGTATTCTATCTGAAGAATCAGCTAGTTGCAAGGGATAGTAGACCTTATATAAGGCCTACTGGAAAGAGCTAGTCTCTTTCGCATTCGCTTAGGGCTTAACTACAATAGCCATTGAATTGAAGTCATTCACTGCGTTCACATATATATACTCAAATTATCTGGGACAATTAAATAATTTGAAACATCCAACTGAATGAAGGGTCTTCAAATATTGAAAGCTTTCAGATCTAGACTGCCAGTTCGGACTACTAGACATATTGGTAATGTGTTAGATTTTCAAGGTTTTCAATCAATGAGATGTCTTGAGTTCCTACTATGATCCGTGTTTGGCAGGATACCCTATTATCTCCATACAAAACTAACAACTGTATGTGTAGTTGTTCAAACCCTCGAGATCCTACTTGTAATATGATAAAATGGGGCAGTATCCAAAACTCACTAAAAGAAGCACAATCCGACGTCCTATTTTTACTCGATTGTTGTTCCTGAGGGACTGCAAACATAGGCGTCGGATACGAAACCACAGAGTTTATCGCCCCTTGCGGCTTCAACGATTTTGCAAATGGCGTTGGGTCCTATTCGTATACCTATGCTCTAACGATAGAACTACGTTTGTTGAGCTCATATCCGAGATCTACCGCCGCTATGCTGTACAATAGAATACTCTGTCGAATTCAGAACTAGATGCCCGAGGGGAGAGAATTGCAGAAAGCTCCGCTACACATTGTTCTCACTCAAAACCCAAGGTTACCATGCAGCATACAGCTTTCAATGAGGCTGGGGGGGGGGGGCTGCAATTTAATCATCACTCAGTCCTTCGCAATCACTGGGCTCAGCGGGTCCAATTTCGCCTTTAAAAAAGCAAAGGACTGATTCCAGCCAAGAATCTGATCCGTCGTCTGAGTCAATCCCCCTGTCTGTTGAGCAACAACTTCCCAAGATTATATTGAGTGTAACGTTGAAAGAGGATTTGGCCCCAGACTTGTCTGCCGATTTGTTTGCCGACTGGCTCCGCATGATGCTTATTATCGCTGAATCTGTCACCGTCGAAGCTGGATTCGGTAGCTTCTCGACTTTAATGTTTGTTTCAATGCCAGTGTCAATTTGGGTATACTTAGGTAGAGATGCCGCTATCAGTCTTGTGGGTACTAAGAAGGGAATATTGAATATAAAGGACCCTTCGTATAGTGATAACGAGCGTAATGAGCCGGTTAATACTAAGCGTGGACTTAGTGAAGCCATTAATGTATGTAATAATCGTATGCAATCTATGGAGCTACAGATTCGAGGCCTCCGGAACGATCTTTCGGAAAGTAATCGCAAGAAGCGTAAACTGCGCCGAGAACGCGATTACTCTCTACGAATTATTGAGTATTATGGGAGAATGAATTTAAAGGGAAAGTGCAAATCTAAAGAAGGAGGTGCGGATGATAAAGGGTTACGATTGAATAGATCTGATATTGGAATCAGATCTTAGTAAACGGTAGTGGTTCCAGTGAATCCAGAAGGAAACGACGAACTACATGGGTTATCTCATGAAGAAGAACGCAGAGAACCTTGCATCTCTAATCATTCTCCAGAAGACACGATTGATATAATCAAGGATAAGATGAAAGCCTAGTCGAGCCAGAGAATCAAATCCTTCCAAACCAATCACCAGAAAATCTCGGTGACAAATATAGTTTAGAGGAGAAAAAGAAAATGACACAAAACATCGAAACAGAAACTTCAAGAAATAGGGATCCTCTCATCACGAATGAGCAAGACCCAAGAAATCTTGGACCAGTAGACTCAAAGCAAGTAAGTAGTCCCAGGACATGATGGATAGGAGGAGAGAGAAATATAAACTGAGCTCAGAGCAAGATCTTGTTTCAAGACTGATGGAGGATTCAAATAGAGGTGATAAGACCACTAGCGATGGGTAAAACTAAAGATGATCTTTTGAAACATCTCAACCTTGATGTTGAAATATATGTGCTTATGGTAGTAAGATTTATTTGTTTTCTTTATAACTTGATCACAACGTTTAATACTCATCAGACTATAAAAAGAAACGAATGTCGTTTACCAATAGTTTATTGCTGAAAAACAACACTTGAAAAAGGATTGCAAAGGAAAACCACCCTAAGATTAGTGTGATATTTTAAAACGGCCAAAAAACGAGGCCATGAAATTGATTGCTTAGAATGCCATCGATCAAACGGCTTATTACTGGGGTCTGGCTCGTTCAACTCTCGACTGTCCCAACTGGATTTCACGATGGTTACTTTACCACAGGTTTCGGTACCGAGATGGGAGAAATAGCAAGACCATCATGGACGATTAGAACGATATTTCCTTTTCATTTTCATCTCCTGTCTCGTCATAGGCTCCCTCGTAATACAATTCTATGCCGTCTACCCCTTTGCAATATGGTTCCTCGCCATGTAATTCCTCGGCTAGTTGGCTTCATCACTAGCAAAGATATCCTCCGCAATACAAGTCCTCGTAATACAATTCCTCGCAATATAATCCCCCAGAAGACGCTACCTCGCAAAATTTCGCATCTCAATACCCATCTCATACACCCAGTGCTAGCTAGCAATATATCTATAACCCCGGTTTTGGCCGGCGAGATACTAATAATACTAATACTAACCGTAACTCCCGTTAAAGAATTGTGAAAGGTACTGTAGACTTTTATTTGATGGATTTGATCGGCGGGATGTATTCTCATAGTGGTAAAAATCAATTTTTATTCGTCTAATAGCACTCTATAGCATAGCTTTCTTATGGTGATTATTCTACATACAATAAAAAAATAAGCGTTTTCACTTCTGATAGAATTAGCGACTGCATCTTATCAAACTTTACACAACAGTCTTCAAGCTATTCAATCATCGTGAATGAATAATAGTTAACTCAAAACGACTCTATCTATTTCTTGAAAGTAAATGGAAGATCAATTAGAGACTCTCAGTCATTGTTGATAGAATCATGGATTTTGTAGTCATTTTAAAGTTATTCAGCTACTAATATATCTCCAAAAATGTTAAAAAGTATACATTATATCGAACATCACGTTTGTACAAACACGCCTGTATGTATGCTTCTAGAACCAACAATATTATGTTTTAGATGATGACGGTGTAGTAACTAATGAATGACTTATACTAAAGCTTGTTTGGACCTAGAGAATGTGAAAGTTCCATACTCAAGCTTCAATAAACAACATGCTACTATTAGATCATCCCATAACCATAATTCCCTTGTAATAAGATGTACTAGATGGCCGATAGTCTGAAGGTAACAGCAAGAGGATTATCCTCTAACCACCGAAATGAATGTATGGCACCCATTCAAATCCTCGCGTGTGCCTTGCAATCTTTGGGCCGTAGTCCCGTCCGCTTGTAATAGCAGAGTCAGCAGCATATGTTGATTCTCCAGTCTCACGAAGCACACCACCCCTCCACTGATCTCGGCACCACTTGATAGCTGTGTGAAGTCCCAGACTCACTGACTCATGCGTTATCTCATCCCCTAGTACATGCTCATATACGATCCTTGCGACATCGCTACAAAGCTTATCGTCGACGTCCCATAATGTCCCAATCACATGTTGAAACCCAGCCAGCTGAAATGCGTTGACCAGATGGAGACCCTCGTCTATCATGAGTTCGTTTTCAACCTGACTGGTGTTGCAAGCAGAAAGATACGCAAGAAAAGGCGGCTGCTCAAGAGCACTAGTTCCTATAAAGTTATCTAAGGTCAACCGATCCTCCTCCCGGTCTCCAAGAAGTAAACAGCTTTGCAGCGGATCGATTGGATCAGAGAAACCATGGCCTGCAAAATGAAATATCTTGCAAGACGCTAGAGCATCAAGCACGGGTTTCTTGCGATGCTGTTCGATGACTGCTAAGTTGGCGTTTTGACAGATTTTTTTGACTTCTTCAGCCTCATTTCTGGCGAATGGTAGCGGACTCAATCCGAGAGTGGTTTCCATCGCTACCAGAACAAGACGGTCCAGCTTTGACAAACTCTTCGCAGAGGGGTTTGAGCGACTGTGTGAGATCGATCTAAGGGAGGAGGCGAAGGAAGATACAACCGTGTCAAGTACCGATTTAGGAGGTTCCTCCAGATGGTATCCGGCCGCTTGGATAGGAAAGCGACTGAGTACACCTGTTGGTATCCACCAAACACGCTGCCGAAAAACTTTGACTTGATTCTTTTGCAGTTCCAGCGCTTCGAGGACTGGGAATGTAACTCTATCCCAAAGTTCCTGGAGCAAGATTTGATCAAGGAATTTAGACATGTAGAGTTTTTCTCTCTGACTGCCAAGATAGTCAATATCGAGTCGAGGTAAATGGAAGGACCGAATGGAGTCGTTCTCGATAATCAAAGCATCGGAACGGCAACGACTAACGTTGATATAAATGACAGGGCCTTCCAACGCTACTTTTTGGATTTCTATTTGACTAGGTGGTTTCAAGAAGTCGTGGAAGTCAGGCTGCCGACGTATTTCTTGCAGCAGGCGATCAAACTCTTGATTTGCCTGCCGTCTGGCTTCTCCCTGCTGTATGGGCGATGTTTGAAGACCTGGAAGCAGAAACTGATCCCTTGGAGTTGAGAGATTCAAACGATCGCGGAGGAGTATGAACTGATCGGCGAGGTCAGGGTGCTGTAGCTGTAACTCTAGTGGTACAGAACGTATATCTGTAAGGTTTCCTATGAGGACCCCACGGCCTTGCTCCAGTAATTGAACTGCCTCGACGACCTTTCCTAGATGCACGGCCACTGCAGCTGCGTCGGAGGCCAGGCCAACAATCGATATCAAGACGCGCTGTTTATCAGAATTTGGAAGTGATCGAGGAGCCAAAGCCGGGAGAAGCTCGATAGCGCCAAATCCAGCTTCCAAAGCCTTCTCCCATTTCTCAATTTTTATGAACAGCTGTAATAAAGACTTGTATGCTCTCAGTCGTTCTGTAACGATTGCCACAAGCGAAGCTGACGCTTGAATGTAGGCCCTAATAGCTCTATCGAGATCGGCCTTCTCACTTGTAAGAGAGTACTTTTCAGAGAGATGAAGTCCAAGGTTGTTTAGCCATTTAGGTCGATCGCTATGGCTTTGAGGAGTAAGGTCAACAGCTTCTTGAGTAACTTCAATAGCTCTATCGAGATCGGCTTTCTCGCTTGTAAGGAAGTACTTTTCAGAAAGACAGCCTCCAAGATTGCTTAGCCATATAGGTCGATCACTATGGTTTTGAGGAGTAAGATCAATAGCTTCTTGAGTAACTTCAATAGCTCTATCGAGATTGGCCTTCTCACTTGTAAGAGAGTACTTTTCAGAGAGATGAAGTCCAAGGTTGTTTAGCCATTTAGGTCGATCGCTATAGCCTTGAGGAGTAAGATCAACAGCTTCTTGAGTAACTTCAATAGCTCTATCGAGATCGGCCTTCTCACTTGTAAGAGAGTACTTTTCAGAAAGACAGCCTCCAAGATTGCTTAGCCGTCTAGGTCGATCGCTATGGCCTTGAGGAGTAAGATCAATAGCTTCTTGAGTAACTTCAATAGCTCTATCGAGATCGGCTTTCTCGCTTGTAAAAGAGTACTTTTCAGAAAGATAGATTCCAAGATTGCTTAGCCATATAGGTCGATCACTATGGCTTTGAGGAGTAAGATCAATAGCTTCTTGAGTAACTTCAATAGCTCTATCGAGATTGGCCTTTTCACTTGTAAGAGAGTACTTTTTAAAGAGATGAAGTCCAAGATTGTTCAGCAATTTAGGTCGATCGCTATAGCCTTGAGGAGTAAGATCAACAGCTTCTTGAGTAACTTCAATAGCTCTATCGAGATTGGCCTTCTCACTTGTAAGCGAGTACTTTTTAAAGAGATGAAGTCCAAGATTGTTTAGCCATTTAGGTCGATTACTATAGCCTTGAGGAGTAAGATCAATAGCCTCTTGAGTAACTTCAATAGCTCTATCGAGATCGGCTTTCTCGCTTGTAAAAAAGTACTTTTTAGAGAAATGAAGTCCAAGATTGTTTAGAAATGCAGATCGATTACTATGGTCTTGAGGAGTAAGATCAACAGCTTCTTGAGTAACTTCAATAGCTCTATCGAGATTGGCCTTCTCACTTGTAAGAGAGTACTTTTCAGAAAGATAGATTCCAAGGTTGTTTAGCCATTTAGGTCGATCGCTATGGCTTTGAGGAGTAAGGTCAACAGCTTCTTGAGTAACTTCAATAGCTCTATCGAGATTGGCCTTCTCACTTGTAAAAGAGTACTTTTCAAAAAGACAGTCTCCGAGATTGCTTAGAATTGCAGGTCGATCGCTATGGCTTTGAGGAGTAAGATCAACAGCTTCTTGAGTAACTTCAATAGCTCTATCGAGATTGGCCTTCTCACTTGTAAGAGAGTACTTTTCAGAAAGATAGATTCCAAGATTGTTTAGCCATTTAGGTCGATCGCTATAGCTTTGAGGAGTAAGATCGACAGCTTCTTGAGTAACTTCAATAGCTCTATCGAGATTAGCCTTCTCACTTGTAAAAGAGTACTTTTCAAAAAGACAGCCTCCGAGATTGTTTAGCCATTCAGGTCGATCGCTATAGCCTTGAGGAGTAAGATCAACAGCCTCTTGAGCGACTTCAATAGCTCTAATGAGGTCTTGTGCTACTCCTTGAACAAAATTAACAACTATAAACCTTTACATAAAAGCAAAGTCTTAGGTAATTTCTCACCGTCGCCGCTTATTGCCATGTCCAGTTTTTAATTGAAACTATTGGAGCTCCTCTACACGATCGTGCTTGTGTATAAGTGCTAGTAGTTTTATATCGAGACTCGTGGCCTGGGACCTATTTGTGTCGAGCAATTTCGATAGTAGCTTTCCGAGTCTTTGGTTTTGCTAATGAGTTTAAAGAGCTTGAATTTATATATTGGTAGTGCGAAGCTGCAGATGCGCGATTGGGTCTGAATAGAAATCGATGCTAGTGTTAATTACAGCTGGCTGAGCCGCGATTACATATATGTAGATTTTGAGATCACATCGGAGCATAACATCGCGGCGAGAACCGGAGAAAGCTAGCAGAAGCGGCGCACTATTCTCAAGGTCTACAGAGCTTTGTCGTCCCCAGCTGAAAGCCACAATTATCGAAAAGCGCCACCGAGGGTGGATGTACCTCAGCTACCACTGGGACCTTCCGCTCATTCTCCAGTGCTTACGGCCGATGGAAATTTAGACATTATAGCCTAAAAGATTGATCCCGAGCTTAGCAGGGTTCCCCTCCCCCACACCTACTAAGTTGGGCTCTTTATACATATATATGTATTTATTGTCGCCCTCTTCATCTTCACATGCGACCGGGAATGATAGGTTAATCTTTTGGTCAGGATCACACCCATTCACTCTGCTGTTGGGTAAAGTCTTAGCCGAGCGACCAGTGAGTAATACTTGGTGGTACAGAGGATGCGGTCAAAAGTTACAAAGCTGTAGGGTAGTTAGGGATTGATAGCCTGTAATAATCGTCTCAGCTATCGAATCAAGTCCCTGAAGAATATCAATCCCACAATAGGATACATATCAAAATCTACAAATTATAAGGCGCTCACAGCTTACAGGGCATTACAGGCTATGTCCTCTATAATCTTGTGACTTTTGATCGCGTCCTCCGTAAGGATAAATAATTGTACCCCCTGTTTTGATATCGTGTAGCATAACTTGAGAATTAGCCAATCAGGTTTGTGTTTTCATTGGGCTTGTGAGGTAGAATGTACTGCTTTGTAAAAGTGAAAGCACCAAGTATACATGCATATCGGTCTTCTCGGCTGTACGGGGGTGCAGGCTATACGGAGGTTGAGACAAAGTGGGGGTGTGGCTACGGAAGTGCAGATCACAAGTTGTGGATCTTACTGCCTTCCCGTGTTTGTTTTTGGTGGGTAAAATGGTCTTTGGTGGCAGAATAAAAGCGGTGACCCATAACTTACAGAGGTACAGGCGCATAATATTGTTAGCTCCTACAAGGCTCCTGGCCCTTGTCCAGCCACGGAACAAGACCTACTATATTTACCACCCTTGATAGAGCTAACACTGCTATACGCCTATAGATTCAGATCGTTACATCGTGCATCTTTCATTAACGGCGGGGTGTCTCTAGTTTTCGTATGTATCGAATAGGGTAGTGATGAACTGTCATGACTTTCAACTGTTCTCGAAGGCTTGCCTTATCTAACCACGCGCCTCCATATTACGGCAGTTATACGACGTTCTTCACCTGTCTTGAGATACACTCCGTGGCGCATAGCCGGAAACGATACAACCAGGCTCTGCAGATTCTAACTCCACTTCTGCAGCTTCCCTGCAGGTGTTGATTAGCTGGCTGCTCTAAACAATACTCGGCGCGCTGTGTCTGTCATCGATTGAAGGGCATCCCGTTACAATATTGCTGTCTATTGTTTTGCCTTTGTTATTTGACAGATTCATCTTTCTGTTCAGTCAACACTCCCGCAGACTTCAATCCCTACTTTCTCTACCGGTCTTTCACATGCCTCTAACAAAGCGAGCTTTGCTCATTGCGAGCCCGTTTGGCGGCCTTCAAGGACCGGAGCATGATGTTGAAACCATGACAAAAGCTCTACAAATCAATGATTTTAATGATATCACAAAATGTGTCGCAGCTGAAGCGACTCGGGATAATATTTTGGAGAAGTGGAGGGAATTGATCGACCGCACGATGCCAGATGACGCTATCGTATTTTATTACTCAGGGCACGGTGCTTTGGCCAAGCCACACAGCCCTGTAAGTGACAACGGCATCCAGTCAAAATCGTTGCAGTTCATCGTCCCGATGGACTATGACAAAAGCAATGCCAAAGACTTCAGAGGCATCTTTGATATCGAGATTTCGCACTTGCTTTGGCGGGTTACGACGAAGACACACAATGTTACGGTAATTCTCGACTGCTGTCATTCCGGCCGGATGGCTCGAAATCCAAAGCTTGGTTCTCACTCGTCGCCAAAGTTTCTTACAGAAATCCAGTATCGCGACGATGTCGATGAGATTGAGGGCAAGTTGCAACACAATTTTCGACTTGAGGGTGATGGCGATGGCCACCCTAATGGCAACCCTTTCACGGTCCGAATCGTCGCAGGTACGCAGGGCGAAACGGCTTGGGAACATAAGGATCAAGAAGGTAGATGGCAGGGTGCGTTGACGCGAGCTCTTGGGATAGCACTAGAGGAAGCGGCCGGGAAAGACATATCCTGGCACACGACTATGATCCGCGTTCGCGATGCCCTTGCAATAAGTAACTGTCCGCAACATCCAGATGCTGAGGGTCGGAGTAAGCGTATTCATTTCACCCTCGAAGAAACCGACCCAGGCGTCTTCAGCTTTGTTATAAAAGGCAAAGTAGTCACGATCAAGGGGGGCAGGGTCGCTGGATTTGCTAAGAATGACATATTCGCCCTTTTTCCGCACGGCCGCGAATCGAAAGCTCCGTGGGTTGCAAAAGCAAAGCTTTCGAGTGTAGACGTCTTCGATTCAATAGGCGATATCATTGAGACGGGAAATGGCGAAGCATTACCAGAGCGTGGTATTGCGATCTTGATCGAAAGAGTATTACGGCCATCACCAATAAAAATACCGGTAGAGATGATTGATTTGAAGAAAGCTGTTGGGAGTTCCAAGTTTCTACGAGTCGGAACGCAAGACGAGACGGAAAGGATACCCTCTGTGAGACTCGAAAAAGACGGTGCCTCGTTGTACGACGAAGGTGGCATTGGTATTGAGATATTCTGTTCACCCTTCGACCAAACGGGTGAGATTATAGGTGCTGCCGAAAAACTGACACGAGCAAAGCTGTTTCGGGGCCTAAGACCAAACAATGGGGAGAGGCTCTCGCACGATCTTGAACTGCATTTTAAAGTTGTAGTACCAGGTAACCGACGAGCAATTTTTCCAAGTGGAGAGTCACATATCTCCGAGGACGAAACGGCTTGTATTTGGCTAGTCAATAAGGGAAAACGCACCTTGTACGTTAACATCTTCGATATCAATGTCGCTGGTCAGATCTTTCTAATCAACGTGGATAATCCTGGCGGCATTGAGGTTGAAGGGCAGTCAACCTATATCTATGGGCAAAACAGGCAAGGTGAAGCTGAAGGCGAGGCTTTCTCCTGGCCAGATAGTGTTCCTATCTGCGAAGCTATTTCTGAATCTCTCCTTTTCATTGTAACAGAAAACATCATAAACCTTCAACATGTGGAAAGTCCTGGAATGATTGGACGTGGCGAAACACCAAAGTCGACTCTGGAGGATCTGACATTCCAGATTGCGTGCGGAGGAGCGCGGAATTATGGGCAGTCTCGTCGGCAGGTTGCTCTTATTCGCTTCGATGTTATAGAAATACCCTTCACCCTTCACCCACGAACCTGTACCGGAGAGATGGTGCCTGATCCACAGAAGTGCGAGGAGTGGCCAAAAACGCTCAAGAGTTGGCCAGAGATTGATGAGACTGCTGCAAAGGTATGCTATTCAGCCCGAATAAAACTCTAATAGTCGACTTGATGTTGATGTGTTGTCCAGGGATTCTTTGGTGCAGTATTACGAGCAGGCCATGGAATCCCTCCCTGTATTTGGGTTACGAATAAATATACCGAACAGATCACCGTCGTTGTGTCTAAACTTCGACCAAGTCGACTTTGGACAGGCTCTGAACTGAACGTGTCTGCTACTGGTGGAGGAGTCACTTTTTCTACAGAGGTACGCCGCCCATGGTCCCTGCTGCAAATAACGCGTTTACTCAATGCTCACAACGCTCTCAAACAGACTTATGCACTTCCTACAACCAAAAAGACACTGGGGCCATACACAAACGGCCAAAGTCCTGTGACAGCAACTTTTCCTCTATGGAACAGGAAGGAGGGCTGTGGCGTAGTCTGTGTCTACCTTGGAAAAGAGGAGCGATGTTTCATCATGAATGATCAAGTGCCGATAGGAGGAACTGCTGTCTTCACGGGTCAGCCCGATATGGAGATTATTGAATACAAAGAGCTCAAGCGTTAAAGAAAAATGGCGTCGGGTTTCGGCCGGCCTTCGGACTGAATTCATGAAATTTGTGGTAGAAACCGAATCTGGATACACTGACTCCAAGATTAGCTTGGAGTGGCTCAAGCGCGTAGTTCACGAATATCAAGTTCAGGAGTTTTGATGAAAGATCGGAGAGAAGAGATAAAGACTACTCTTTTCAGCCAGCCATCGACTTTGGCGTTCGTGGTTTGTGCAGCTATTTAGAGATAAACCCTCTATTCCCCACTGCTATCATGGGCCGATGTCAAACATATATATTTACAGATCCAAAGAGTGTTCTCACCGTTTCCATGGCGTTAGTGAATTGAAGGAGCATCAAGCCGTGCACTACAGCTAATTCCCTTGTGCTTATACTGGTTGCTTTAACGCTATTCCTCTGGTATCACGCTGTAATACAAGGGGTTTTTTTGTTTTTTTTGTGGTAAAATTAAGGTGTAGTCTGTCTGGGGGTCGAACTCGATTACGCTTTAATCGGGCTTAGAGTTAGATTTGTTATCAGTGTATTGTGCAGTGCAGTGTTATATAAACTAGACGTTCAGAATCGTGAGATCCAGGTAAGTACTATCATGACTGGTTGGTAAAATAGACTGGGTCGTTGGATCTTACCTCTTTTGTATGATTGAGGGGTAACGACTTAGATATAGATTTTTCAATAACTATATATGCAAGCACTGTACCCTTTTGTTTTAAAACTCTTCAACCTATATACCAGCTTTTGTGAAGACTTCAACTTGAACTAAAACATTATAAATCTCACTTTCTCTAGATAACCTTCGCCGCCAGTGCTGCTTGTAAATCTGGGAATCGTTTTCGTGGAGTCAAACTCTGATAATTATATTACGATATTCCGTTTTTTTATATAATAATTTTCCAGCATCGGTGACGAGGCCCCAGTCATACTGAACATAGGATCGTGTGTCATAGTTGGCTTTTGACACCCCTTCTCGTTGTGACGGAAGAGCTCCCATTGACATTGAAATGGGATAGAGAGCGTTTGCAACTCGGGTTCTGGCAGCGATAATTTGATACATCTTTCCCCATGCTCTGACACAACTCTTGTAGATTTCTTACCAAGTCTGATCTAGGGAGAAAATCGTTTTCCTTGCCATAAAGCATACCAACTATGTTTGCCCCCAACGATGGCATAAATCTCGTTCCCATTATCTATTCAAAATACATTTCCGGTGCATGTTTTTAGACCACTTCCCTTCTTATGTTGCATAATCTCTTGACTTCACTTTTTATCTTCAAATCACGGCCCTCTAGTTGTACATCTTCAATCCGCTTTTTCGCAGCAGTTATCTCAAGGTCCTTGGCAACAACCTCAACGAATTCCTTGCTTATTAGACCCAGTGGTGTACCACGATTTGAGTTTAGACTACGAGCAAAGTTGATCTGCTGTGTACGTTGTTCTTGTCCAACGGTTAGACTTTGTAAATCGATACCGGAATGAGACGCAAGATAGCTGTTTTGGAAAACTTTATCATTCGAATGTCCGAGTATTTTACCCCTTTCCGCTGAAGTAACATGCTCTTTTTAAGTCAGAACGGGAATTATAAATTAAAAGGGAAATAAAGAATACTCACGATTCAGAACATTGGCTGAAGTACGTCTTATCACATAAGATGTAAAGATATCCTTGAAGCCTGCACGTTGTGCGATTTTCCTTAGTGAGTGATTGAACGCTTGATAAGTCAACGACTCAGCATCCTGAGATGCCTCCATCGATCGATTACTCCGAAATAGAGGTTTGTTCAAAGCACTTTCCTTAAATTGTATATCGATGTACTTTGCAGAACATATGCTGGGATCATATAGCTCCTCAATGCTCTTTACTGTTTCAAAAGCATCATCGGCAAAAGCTAGAGCAAGAAAAAGTGTGATTGGACATATATCCCTAGATGTTAGATCCTCAAACAACTGTTGCTTATAACTAGAGAATACATCAGAAAATATACTTCGAAAAGACAATCTTACTTACACCTCTCCTTCATCATCCCGCTCATTTTTTCTGAGGTTAAATGTGAACAAAATACTCATCAACGGGCGACCGCCGTCCAGACTTTGCTGCAAAGAGAATTTTATATCCTTCAGATAAGGTCAGTTACTAATGGCTCCTTCGGAATTACATCTTATCGTACCTTATACCGCATAGATTGACCAGTCATATAATAAGCATGTGACTCGATAAGGGCACCCGGGCGTGATGCCGTGTATACAAGTATTAAGATCAATAAAGCAATCTGAACTCTGGCTCGCTCATATAGAAAGTTGAGAGGATCGTTCATCCAAAGATAGCCGAGTATATCTTGCAAATCGTTGAGACTAGCGATAGGCTTCGGACGGGTTTTAGTACTCAAACCCAGGCTTTTCGCCAGACTAGTCTTTATGAACTAAAATATATTAACAGAATAATGGCCTGGAAATATAATTTGACTTAACTTACAGTGCGGAGCTCCGGCATTGATTCAAGTTCTTCATTGTGCTTTCGCTCATACACTGATTTGAAGCGAATTGCATATTGAATCAGTGTCTTTACAGAAAGACGTTTGCCTAACAAGCCTGTCCGTTCCTTTGCAAGCATAGTAAAAAACCCTTTAAGAACTCTTAGAGTTGGTTTCATATTAGCATTATTAAGTCGTGCAAGGTAGCTTGATATCAGATGTCAGCAAATGACCTTGGAGGAATCGGTATCTATGACCTACTTCTCCCAAAGTTTCCAGATCATATTATAGCCGCGTAACGTTGGAGGGACAGATGATAGTGGCTCCCTTTCAAAGTTCTCAACTTCGAAATCTGCGAGTAGATCCTCGAGTGAAAGAGCTTGTGTCATTTTCACAATATCACTTGAGAAAGAGAATAAGAATAATCAAGGGAAATTTCGTCGAGAAGAATCAATGTGATGTTGTGGTGTGATGAAAATTGTGAATTCGAAAACGAAAAGGGGGAAAGGGACATGTTTAAATAAATATAGTATACGGGATACCATATTGAAAATTCCAATTTCCAACGTGATTAGAATAGAAGGTAGTTGATCGTCATCTTACCAAAAAATAACGGAATTCTATTTTCAGATCCTGAATTATGTCAGGAAGGAAAAAAATATATAAAAATCCGTAATACGGAAGTGAAGATATAATATGTTCGTTTACGGAAAACGGTTTACGAAAAACGATTTTAGGAGCAGCGATTATTAAGAGTAAATAAATTTTTTTACCGATAGTCAGATATCCAAAAACGGGCTTGTGGTTTAGTGGTATAATGTTCCCTTAGCATGGGAGAGGTCCGGCGTTCGATTCGCCGCTAGTCCAATGTTTTTTTGACTAATTTTTGACTCTAATATCTTCCCTTCATGGTTTGGCTCCCTTTTTGCTCTCATTCCAGCCCTCCTCACTCTGTAAGCTTTTGTGGGAAAGTTCCATCTCCAAGTTTCTTGAGAGTCGAGACGAAGAGAATCTCAATTTTGGTGTGTGAAGTCTGTACATTGGGACTTTGTGTCGCTTTGTCCGGAAGCCCGAACCTAAAAGAGACGAGTGGCAAAGTACGTCGTGTAACATCTTCCACGGTGTCATGACCGACAACAACCTATATTTTTGGGGCTCAAATCAACTATACATGCAGTTTTTGCCTATGATTTTTACAGTACGACGATTACATGTCAAGACTGAAGATTGAAGACTGCGATTGCTCCATCCAATGCTTTCGATATCCTTGCAAACGCACCATCGTACCGGATTCGGAATTACCCCACTTCGTTTCATCGACTCAAGTTCCAACTGAGCAATTCCAATCCGCCGTGAACAATGATATATAATATTTCCGTACTTTGATTCTGAACAGTGAGTTCCTCATAGAGGAGACCTGGGCATAATAGTATTCTCATCTCAGAAAAGTTCCATCTAGAGTCTTCTTGAATCATGCAACTCTTGTACACAATACCACGGTTTCCATTATGGGAAAACTCTCGAAATAGTGTACACACCAAAGTTGTACCGCATTATTGCGGTTTAGTCAACTGTCATTGCGATGCAAGCCGAAACTGTTATTGCCTTCTACTTGCTAAGGTCGATTGCTGTCTGCGAGTAACCAATGGCTTTCGTTCTTTCCGGTTTTGTTTGTTTTGTTGCACTTCTGAAATTCAATAGTTCCATTTAGTGCTGCAGAATTTTCAATAGTGTGAACTCCACCTCACTACAGCATAGTGATGTAGGATTCTTTTCTTTACTTGTTTATTCAGAAGCAGAGAGGAAGTTTCGGGGCCTTATAAGATGAACCAGAATCATTTGTTTCTACATGAGATTCACTGGGTCAACTGCCAATATCGGTGGCAATGCTGGTTGATGAACATTTTGAACATTCTCCAGATAAGAGGTCAGCAAATTTGGATATCAAATTTCTATTCTAGTATCGGTCCCTGGAGGACTAGCTTTGAATTATGCTTCTTGGAGGATGAAATCCTGTAGGATAGTTCACTTCGAAATATACACGAGTAGTGCTCACTAGCGAAGGACACTATCACAGGTAAGAGGGGGCGGAGGGACTTCGTTTTTGTGCTCTCATATCTCGATTAAGGTTATAAAGAACAAAAAACGTTGTGCTTCTATGAACAGGAGTGTGCAAATTGCCAGTAGCGATTGTCACATGAGATTTGGAATGTATCATACTCGTGTTTCTTAGATCTGTAGTACCGAATTCGTTCAAATTGGAAGAACTTTACGATTCTCTGATATGCAACAAAGTGGTTGGTTTCAGTCAGAACTCTCAGACTCTCTTGATTATTGCTATATTTCAGTATATATATCTTAAAGTTCAGTAATAGTTCAACACTTGCCTGAAGTAAGTTGAGTTGGGGCTTTCCGGGGTATATACATTGTGGTCGGAAGTCACTCATGAATTTCACATGGAAACCAGAATCTGTTCATCGTGGAAGGTAGTAATTCTGGTTGAAGCTAGCAGACAACCACAAAAGTCCAATGATAGGCATCAATTATCAGATTCAAAGATAATACGTCTCATTCTGCTGAGTTTCGTGAGAAGAGTCTTGAAAAGTTGGAGGAGGCTATTTGAGATTGCCTCTCGAGGTACCAATACCGCCTGGGTTCGAGAATACAGCACCTCACAAACCGGAGCCCGCCGAAATCGATGCTCATTGCTTACGACCTCATATAACCAACCATAAAGGTTGGCTTTCGCCGACAAACGGTTTGTTCTGGGGAAAGTAGCTTGATCCACATCCGACTCGATCACAACCCCACCCCGAGGAGAGAAAAATCTGTTCACCCCACCAAGATCAAATTAGATCCACTACAAGCCCTGACCCACAGACTTCGCTTAGGCAAGCCACTTCCTTACTCCACTCGCACAAACGGTTCTCTTGGAACATCGAAAAAGAAGTCAACCTCCTCGACTTCCAATCAACAAAAAGATATCTCAAGTAGATGATTAATCTTGGACTAGCGGCGAATCGAACGCCGGACCTCTCCCATGCTAAGGGAACATTATACCACTAAACCACAAGCCCTTGTTGTATTTGTTGGAAAGAATAACAGGAAAAATAGCTATATTCAAGAAACGCAATAGCTACAGCATCTAAGAAGATGGTATGCATTGCTCTTGATGAATCAGAGACTGGCCATCGAGCGTGAAGCTTGCTGCAAGCGTACTATGGCTTTGTCACTGTCATCACTCTTGTTGCTGTTGTTGAGAATATTAAAGTTAGCATGTCCACTACGAAGATCTGAAAATCGATGTCTTGGTTGAAAGCTCGATAACTGATGTCTGTAGTCAGATGCATACGCGGTTCTACAGGCTTTAATTTCCATCTATTTGCCACCTTGGCGTCAGAGCCTTTGCTTATCCCGAGAAAGCTCGACGGGGATAATTATATGTATAATCTTGTGTAATTAGATCAGAAAGATCAAAGACAATAAATAGTATGAAGATATCAGCCCAAAAGTTCTGGACGCTAACATCAATTTCGAGTATTACATTCTGGTTTATTAGTTTGTCTAATCTCAAAGGAACAAGACAAGACTGAGCTGACAGATGAACATAAAGGTCAGATGATTGACCACACTTGCATTTTCAAATTGATTCATATTCTCTGAAACTGCTCCTTTGTTTCTATACAACACAAGAACTCAAGCGGCTTTAGCTCACTTGGGAGAGCGCCAGACTGAAGTCCACTTCAGCCCATTAATCTGGAGGCACTGTGTTCGATCCACAGAAGCCGCATTCTGCGAGTTGAGGCCAACCTTAATCTTTATTTATTTTGCAATTTTTGTTGTTGCTCCATTACACTAATCACAAGCCCCTCCGTACCCAGTCCCCCACTATCAAGATCAATGGCCTTAAATCCCTGCTTTGATGCCCCCACTCGATCAAAATTCTCTTTTTTGATTTTTCTCTTCACACAGTTAAAATATCTTGATATAACCATATAATCGTTCGTCCTTTTATAAATTCAAGGCCGGATGGTGTAGTTGGTTATCACGTGTCCTTAACAATCAACAGTTGTTAAAATACGGACAAGGTCCTGGGATCGTGCCCCAGTCTGGTCATTAAAGTTTTGATCACTTTGTCACCTGAGGGTTGAAATTTTAAAACATCTTTTGGTCTCCAGCTTCCTTTTTGTGTCTTTGCGATTGGCATCCCTTGGAGTTTTGGAGCGCGATGTGGAGAGGAAACTCATGGGAAAAAGGAGCCGAGGGTCTCGAGATGGATAGAAGAGTGTTGCTCCATATCGGAGAAGTGCGAACAGTTCCATAAGCTAGCTACTCTACAAAACAGAAGTGGTTCTTTGGCGCTATGCAGTCGCTCACTAACTTGTAAAAGTCTGTATTGGGAATCACAAACAGCAAGCATCTTTTAATCCGACTGGCTTCAGTTGAATTATCTGGTGGTATTCACGTTTGAGGGGAACACGAAAATAGAAAGCAACAATTTGTCCACACAATAAAAAGTAAGCTGTATAGACAATTTAATGAACATGAAGCTCTTCTTAGCTCATATGATCGTTATTGAAGTAGTTTCCTTGACTGATTCAAATGGATCTAGCCCGCTGTGAAGTTGAGTGAGTCCAATCCGTCTGAACTTACTATCGCCGCCAATGGAGATGTTATTTTCTTTGACTCGCTGCAATATGAGCGCTATCCCTCGCGGTTCCCAACCAGTTTGCTTTTGATGTGATACCTGTAACATGTATGTCTCTCCATGACCGTATTCTGGCTGCCAACCATCAACGTCTAGATCCCCTTCCTCGTAGTATTGTTTTGTGGAATGATTTGAAACTGCTTCTCCTAAATTCGATTTCAAAATATGGTCTTCGGTATAAAAGTCTCGGACGTCTCCAGCTAGCATCAACTTCCCACCGACTCTGAGTTTACCAGATGATACTGCTCCATACGGATTGACACCTTCCACCACACAACTGACATCCTCAATAATAAAGAAATTGTCAGCACATTGATTTGAGGTATAGAAGGTATTCATGGCCCGACCATTATCAGTATTCTGACATACGACCGACGCCCATGACCATGTTGGTGCCACAAATCTTTTTGATCTTTTCAACGAACGAGTGCCTCTGAAAAAATACCAAAGAAATCCCCTTGAAGACAAAGAGCCGTCAGAGTTATGAATCTTCCACAATCCGGCGACATACTGAGGACCCTGCAGATCCTCTGATCCCTGTGATGAAATTGACTTTGATAATTGATTCAGAGCCTCGTAAGTGCGGCTTGCAATCCCGGAGAGCGCGGGAAGTCGATCTTCTTCCTTCGTTAACTGAAGAACGGCATAGTTTTCGATATTCGAATACCAGTCGTCAAGGATTTTATTGAGCTGTTGTTCATTGCCTCTACATAGCAGCGAACGTATCCTCGCGCCATCTCTAGTGATTATCATTGCTGGATCGCGTTTGGGAAGTTCTGATATTCTGGTGCATTCGCACCATCTTTCCATTCTACATTCCCATATTAGCTCTGTCGCATAGAAGCTTATAGTTCTGGGGGATAAAATGCGCTCTTGGTACACCCATCCTCGCGTATTGAGGGGTGCCATAGATTTCCCACTCCCATGGAAGAGAGAATGTCTATCATGAGTTGTGCTTAAACTTGGTCGAATAAAGAATGGTCCGCTGCCTTCTAGTCTATGTGCCAGCCCTGTCTTATCAAGAATCTTAAGCTCTTCGAACGGTGGTATGGTTTTTTGCACTCGGCTTCCAGGATACTCTGCATGTAGCTGCGCGAACCGGGTGTTGAATAGTCCAGTCTGACTGTCTCGGCCATGCGCAGCCGCTATATTTAAAAGCGAGCCAGAATATATGTCGGCCATTAAAGCTGATTGACGTTCCCAATCAGCAACATCATCCTGTATAATACAGATGGAATCAATCCATATGTATTGTATGTTCAGTCTGTGCGTGAGTAGTACCACATCCCGAAATGTTCGAGGGAGTGTCGACAAATCAATGCCATTGGCGTGCGCACTGTAATTGTCCAAGTTTGTTTTGATAAATTGAGCCGATCCCCAACAGTGGCTCAATGTGGTGTACTCTATCGGACGAGCTTGGTCAATTGTTCTTGATTCCACTAGCAGGATTTGGTTCTTTGAAACACACTGTTTTACATCAAGAAGGCGATCTGGAATTGATAATTCTGATGCATCGGCACACTCTTCTCTATGGCTTGCACGGCATCCTGATAACCATGGGCTTATAATGCCTAGAGCACTTTCCAACTCGAGATTTGGAACGATGTGTGGTGAAATTTTGAAAGAATGTAGTGGAGTACTTCTAGATTTGCGTGGATCGTAATCTTTATTGACTGATCAGCGTTTATCTAGCTTTAATCTGTTTCCACCATAATGTATTACCAGGTAGTTCATAAATTTCCAACTCTTGACATCCACCATTTGACAACGACGATTTACTACATAAGATCTGGATACTATTGCCCGAAATGATCGCCCTGACTATTTCCTCTTTCATCACAGGCCTATCTCGGCGGACATGCTGTAGAACTCCATCGTGGATGATTTGACATCTTTCGCAAAGATTGTAGTTTTTATTCTGGGATGATAAGCTGAAGTCTATGTACATATGATAAAAAACAAGAGAATTCGAGTGGCCTAGTTGGCACGCAGCGCAGGAGGAATAGGGCATTTTGATTTGGATGAAGAAATCGGGCAAATAGATGTGGACTACTTGAGCAGCTCTTCGAGCAAGGGAAATCAAATTAGTTTGAGTGAAGCATAGCCATTATTGAAACATCAAACCTTCCGGGATTGTGAAAATTTCATTACAAGATGTAAGAATTCTTCAGCCTTGTATGACAATGAACACGTGCACCAATCGAGTCCGAGGATTTCTGACCAATCGACCGAATGTATATTGCAATCTCTCTAGAGATGGAAAGTGTGCGTGATGTACAATGGAAGTGTCTACAATAACATATCCCACAGCCAAAAGTGAACTGGGTAATGCATCAGCTAGTCTGACGTAACAATGATTAGTGCAGTATTCAGGCTATCAGAGACTATCAATCAAGGAGACTGCAAGCATGTATTCGAAGTTGAAATGCTATGAAAGATCTTGTAATCAATTTTGCTCGAATTAGCAGCGTGTGAATTTGTATTCCTGAATCTGCGTTTTCTTCCACTACCCAGCATGGTTGATTCTACTTAAATATTTGGATGGTCTCCCGATTAACCATTTTAAGTAGAGGAAAGAGGCTTCTTGCTCATAGTCTGCTTAAAAGCTTGCAACGCCAAAGCAGGTGTATAATAAGGAACCTCATGACCAGCCCCAAAGACTCTTAACCAACTCAAATTACCAACAGTCTTAAAGGTTCCTCCAGTAACACCATTTACATTATAGTTTGCAACGGCAGCAGCGTTGAAAGCGGCGGAGCTAGCGTAGGTGATAGCATTGGCGGTTGCGAGACCACCAAACCAGTTGCAAATCCAATCAGCGTCACCAGCCCAGATGAGGACTTGAATACCGGATTGAACAACTGTAGAGAGAGTTGGCAGGAAAGACCTTGAATCTGTTTTTTTAATGTTCATTAGTTATGCGAAAGACATTAATGATGAAGGGTAACTGACCATCTCCAGTAGCAGCAAATTTCTCATAAGGAGCATCTGGACACTCAGCATAGGTAGACTTGGCACCAATGGCCTTCACAACTGCTGCGCTTTGCAAATATGTAACATAAGTCTCTGGTGGATATGGATCATTTGATGGTTCTCGAATATCATAAACATCAAAGTTTCCATTTGAAAGTGGCCCCTCGATGTCGTCATAACAAGCATCATCAGCATTTACACAAGCTGAGTTGGTACCAGTGGTCGATGTACATTCTTCCAAAAGAGGAAGACATGACTTGGTATATGTATTGAGATAGGATGTGTGTTGAGCAGCGGTGATGAGTGATTTGTATGTGTTATTGTAGGAGTAGTCGACGTATGCCTTATAGGAGATGATAGGATCATACCATCCGTTGTTGATACCTAAAGCAATGAGATCAATTTTTTCACCAGCAATAGTGCCAGCCGCAATCTTGGCATTTTGTTGTTCAAGATAGTATGCAAATTCTGGTCCATAATGACCACCATAGGATTCTGTGAAGATACCAAAGTCGCGATTCTCGTAGGCGGGGAAGGAGGCATAGAAAGCTTGGAGAAGTGTCCAGACGTATGGAGCAGCAGTAACAGTGGAAGTCACAGAGTCTGTACCGTAGGAGAAGCCTACACCAATCGGTTGATCGATATAGATCATGTTTGCGAATTCGTTGAAACTGTATGGGTTGAGGGATGGAGTTGATGCTCCGTTGTAGAATTGACATGGACCATTCTCTTGGAACAACCCAATCATAGAAGAACATCCAGGGCCTATTTCTTTGTTAGTAAAATTTAGCTTAACATGAAGGACATTGCCTGTACCTCCGTTAAACCATGTCGCTAGTGGTGCAGTGGTTGGACTGTTTCGACTTTCGAAGAACCAGAACCACATATTCATACCCTGATACAGATGTCAACATGGAATCATTTTCTAAAGAATGTGTTACACTCACAGTTCCGACAGTCAAATATCCGGAATACTGGTTCACACCTGGCGTGGTCTCGCAAATACCAGAGTTTGTGACAAATGCAAGTGTGGAATCAGTGGCGGCATGATAGAAAACAGTATGATTGACTCCATCACGAAGCTCAAACGATCGTTTGTCTTTCTTCCCTTCAGTGGTAGGGGCAGCTAGAACAGCCGGAAGAAAACAAGCGACTAGGGAAAGCGAAGGGAAACGCATTGTAATAGTAGTCGAATAATTGAATTGGAGATGGTTTAACAACTACAATTCTTAATCTTGGCGATTCATCTTGAACTTATACCTTGATTCCCATCACTTCACGCCCCCTCATCTCAATGCCCAACGCTATTATGCGCTCTACGACTGTAAAATCGAGATGCACGCTCGGAGATCATTCCAAATAAAGTAGGTCTATAATTTCAGGTACGAGGAAACTCTCAAAAGCTTAAATCCCCGCCGGCACTAAAGGGTAAAGTTGAAGAAACCTGAACGATCACGGAAGGTAATCTCACAAGGTACTCCAATTGCCGTTGATAAGACCAACGCATCTACCCTGTATACGACGGTTAACATCGCATAAATTACTAAGTCCCGAACCTAGGCAGGAGATCCAACGGATATATGCATAACATGCAAGCCAAATGTTGTATTCGAATCTTTAAATTCCCCAAAGAGGCAGTTGGTGATGGGCTTGGCAGCGAATGATAAGCTTTTCGTAGCAGAGATCTTTTTCCAGGGTGCCAGATATCGACATTCCTGTTTGGGAAGTTTTGGTGATTTAGTGGCGGAAGATGTGACTTGTCAAATAGATTGATGCTTGTACAGCAGATGAAGATAAAAGCGGGAGGACTATGATGGAACCTCAATCGTGAATATGGAAAATACCGCAGTAAACGACGGTCTCTTGAAGATGTGACAACACCAAATATGTCAGACGAACAATTTTGTGACATACCTGAATTGATTTCACCATCTTGAGATGTATGGCGAGCTCTTTCTAATGATTGAATGCATTGCTTGAATGAAGTTGAGAAATTGAGGTTCCTAAGTTGCAGGGTCTTCAGCATCAGCACCTTTAGCCGAGCATAGGCTCAGGGTCGTGCGAGATCCACCCGCCTTGGAAAAAATTGGCTTCCGTTGGCAAAACGTGTTTGAAAACTTGGCCCTTGGCAATTCGACGACAGAAAATACTATCAAAGTAATGCTTTGGAGCTTGATATAAAAGGAAAACATTTGTATATATTTGTATATATTGGCATTTTTTGTTCTGTTCCTCAAGTCTTGTTTCGAATATTGTTGACGATAAGATACCCACACGTTTTTCTTGTGCCTAGACGATGTAGACTTCCCCCCAGAATTCCCTGCGAGTTTTGTGGTGATATTCCTGCAATGAACTCTACCCACAAAGTAAAGTTCCAATCGGAGGGCCCAATTCATAGAGTCGTACCACCCCTCACGTGAACTGTGCACCTATGCAGGTTACTCCCGAAATGAGCAACTTGCGTTACTTCTAAAGATTCATTGACGATTTTTGTGCGCGAAAACTGAGTCACAAGGAAGCGATCAATCGAAACACCCAGTCCTCCTTGTCAGCTTCAATACGTCAAGGTCAGTTAGGGACTTACCTGTAGAGCTTCTTATAAACACTCAGAGCATGATCGTTAATTGCAGACATTTTCAACAAAGACAGGAATACGGAAAAAATAACTCACAATACTAAACTAAACTGCTTTGGACCTCTTAAACATATAAATCTTATCCTAGCTCCGTGTCAGTGTGGAAATGCGACCCATAAAATATGTGGTAGTAGACTGTCTACTGGAGTTATTGTAAACAAGAGGATAATGTTCATAAGCATTGCACATCACAAAAAAAAGAAAAGTTGAAATGAAGTAATTCTATTCAATAAACTAATTACTTTTGCATCCTGGGTATCATCTTCAACCTGTCCTCCGCCATTTATTCATCTTATCTAGGAATGCCATGATCTTTCACCGATCAAGATAAATAAAGATGTATCTTCCCTCCTCTTCAGTAAATCATAACTTTCAACTCATCCAGGATAAGAAACATTATTATCCTGGCCATGTACCTAAGAAAAAAAGAACGCCAAGGGTATAATACCATGAATGACAACCAAGCATCCATGAGTCATGATATCCAATTCCCAATCGCGTCCATTACTACCTCTCGCCTCGTGCAAAAAATCAATGAAAGTTCATCAATTAATCATTTCTAAATCCATCATGAGCGGCGTTGCCACGGTGATGAGCTTGAGGAACGGCTGCGACATTATCTCCGTCGCTGCGGCTCTGTCTTTCTCTTCCCTCCCACTGTGGCTTCTCTTTCTCGACATCACTCGTACTTCTGCTCTCGACATCTGCGGTTTCAAAGCCATAGTGTCTTGCCATCTGCTCGACCTCAGCTGGGGATAAGTATGGCAAATCTTGAGAAGCCTTGACGTATGAGATGTTTTCGACGAATCCCTTCGCAAAAATGATATCGATTTCCTCGAGAGATCTGCGCTTGGTTTCTGGGTAGAAGAAATAGATAACTGGGATGAAACAAGCGTTGACAACGGCGAAGAAGAGGTATGTACCCCAAGAAATATTGGCAATCATGATAGGTGTGACCATAACAATGGTGAAATTGAAAAGCCAGTTGGAACAAGTTGAGACGGCGTTAGCTCTAGCACGAGTGCGGAGGGGGTTAATTTCAGCTGGGTACAGCCATGGTAGTGGCAACCAGGTGGCTCCGAAGAAAGCAATATAGGTGAAGAGACCAACTCCAGCGCCCTTGGCACTTGCTCCTTTTCCATCTTGTGGGATAAGACAAGCGAAGACGAGGACCATGGAAAGACATTGTCCAATAGTACCAATAATGAACAACTTGCGACGACCAGCCTTCTCAATAATGAACCAAGACACAGTTGCGAAAATAGAGTAAACAATCATGTTGACACCTCCAAGGAGAAGAGCCAAGTTCTTCGAGGTACCGATGGAGGTTTCGAAGAGAATTGGGAAATAGTAGATAACTGCATTACATCCACCGAGTTGCTGGAAGAATTGTGAAGATGATC